GCGTCAGCTGAAATATTATTACTCGTGTGTCACATCACACACACACTCACTTCAGCTTCACACTCATGCCCTCCATTTCATCAGCAGGAAAGGAACGTCATTCAGAGGCGGGGGAAGTTTGAGGAGAGATTATGAAGATAAACACTTTTATTCTTTATAATTACATGCCAAGAACGCAGAAAGAAAGTCACCATTTTCATCTACTGTACATAAACTAGCTCTCAGTAAGAAGGCTCTTCTGCTCAGCAAGGCTGCATTTATGAGATCTTTGATGTTTCATCTCTTTATTCATTGTTGGTGATTGTAGTAACAGTGAGCACAGTTTGCTGTGATGTTTTTAACTCCTAGTTAGTCAGTTCTGAACGGCGCCACCCGCTGGTCAACCGCAGCAATGACCGTGTTTCCCGTTTCCCTCAGGTCATGTCGCAGGCCGAGGGTCAGCAGAAGAGTCTGGTCCAGTCCATCGAGGCTCTTCCGGCGGGAGGATCCCTGTCCTGTCTGGATCAGGACCTGCTGCTTCTGAAGGCCACGTCTGCCGCCACACTGAGCTGTCTGGGAGAATGCCTGACTATATTACACACGCGCAGCGCTCAGCCGGGTCACAAACGTGGTGAGTCCGACACGGACGCCCGACAGACTGAACCGGCCAAAGACCCGGCCGAGGTCCTCTGCGACCCCTGTCCGTATGTAACGGGGCCCTTGCAGATTAACGCGTGCAATACGTGCTGCTGAAGGGCTGTTTGCATGTTCGGTGTCTGTGTGATTCATCTGTATTTTGGTTCTTCATTTGTTTGTTCAGTTCTGTGCCTGATTGTGTCATTTGGATTTGTGCTGATCACAGATCAAAACCGTTCTTTAAAGGATAGTTCAGCCAAAAATTAAAATTAGCCCATGATTTATTTATCCGAGAGTCATCCTATATGACACTCTTCTTTCAGACGAATACAGTCGGAGTTAAAAATCCATCATAAAAGTGCAGTTATTCATCATAAAATTGCATCTGTCCATCATAAAAGTGCATTTGTCCATCATAAAAGTGCAGTTATGTATGATAAAAGTGCATCTATCCATCATAAAAGTGCATCTGTCCATCATAAAAGTGCATCTGTCCATCATAAAAGTGCATCTATCCATGATAAAAGTGCATCTATCATCATAAAATTGTAGTTATACATGATAAAAGTGCTTCTATCATTATAAAAGTGCATCTGTCCATCATAAAAGTGCATCTATACATCATAAAAGTGCATCTATCCATCATAAAAGTGCATCTGTCCATCATAAAAGTGCATCTATCCATCATAAAAGTGCATCTGTCCATCATAAAAGTGCATCTATCCATCATAAAAGTGCATCTGTCCATCATAAAAGTGCATCTGTTCATCATAAAAGTGCATCTGTCCATCATAAAAGTGCATCTGTCCATCATAAAAGTGCTATCAATCATAAAAGTGCATCTATCCATCATAAAAGTGCATCTATCCATCATAAAAGTGCATCTATCCATCATAAAAGTGCATCTATCCATCATAAAAGTGCATCTGTCCATCATAAAAGTGCATCTGTCCATCATAAAAGTGCATCTATCCATCATAAAAGTGCATCTATCCATCATAAAAGTGCATCTATCCATCATAAAAGTGCATCTGTCCATCATAAAAGTGCATCTATCCATCATAAAATTGCAGTTATACATGATAAAAGTGCATCTATACATCATAAAAGTGCATCTATATCATCATAAAAGTGCATCTATCCGTCATAAAAGTGCATCTATACATCATAAAAGTGCATCTGTCCATCATAAAAGTGCATCTATCCGTCATAAAAGTGCATCTATACATCATAAAAGTGCATCTGTCCATCATAAAAGTGCATCTATCCATCATAAAAGTGCATCTGTCCATCATAAAAGTGCATCTATCCATCATAAAAGTGCATCTATCCATCATAAAAGTGCATCTATCCATCATAAAAGTGCATCTGTCCATCATAAAAGTGCATCTATCCATCATAAAAGTGCATCTATCCATCATAAAAGTGCATCTATCCATCATAAAAGTGCATCTGTCCATCATAAACATGCATCTATCATCATAAAAGTGAATCTATCATCATAAAAGTGCATCTATCCATCATAAAAGTGCAGTTAGCAATGATAAAAGTGCATTAGTGGCAGGACATTTTTAATATAACTCTGATTGTGTTCGTCTGAAAGAAGAGTATCGTGTACACGTCGGATGTCTTGAGTGAGAGTAAATCATGGGCTAATCTTCATTTTTGGGTGAACTTTCCCTTTAATGCATGATTCAGTATGAGTGTGTGTGTTTCCTGTTGTTTTCAATGCTGGATGATGAACCACATGCCAAAGACACACACACAGGTGCCTAAAACACAACCGACAGTGGATCCAGTAAAGCCTGACACGGCCGTCGAGATCAGTCGCCGTGACTTTATATTTGATTTGATTTTATGTTTGATCTTTTTGTTTCCTAATGTTGATTCACTCGGCCAAACGAGAACTCCTTGATGTGAATGGACACGTTTGAGGAGAAACACTGAATGACTCTGTATATTGTATGTGTATTATTTCTGATCTTCAGATCTCAGGTTTCTTGTGTTTGGTGGTATATACTGGATGGACTGAATCCTAAACTGATCGCTCTGAATGTTTCTGATGAATTAAATTAATTAAAATCCTTCAGATGACACCTTTGATCTCTGACTGAGGTCTATTAGGGGCTAGTTATATGTAATGAGGGGGTGGGGCTCTGGCAGGGGCGTGTCTTGGAAAGGGGCGGGGCCTGCAGATCCAAACGAGGGAAACGCCAATCAGGTAAATACATATTTTGTGTTTAGTTTGCATGATCTGTTTGCTTTTCATCTCTTTAATCAGTCAGAACATTGCACATATTCTCTTCTCAGTTGTGCATGGATGTTTCTCTGCATGTTTTCCCCAAGCAGTTTGAGAAATTAAAGAATTAATATGAAGTGATGCTCGATGCTTTCAGATATAGTGTTGATGTGGGTCATTATTTTCTGCTTTTATATATATATATTAAGATTTATGTTAGCTTGAGATTATCACATTGATGTAATACACCGATCAGTCTGCACAGTGCCGTTTCGAGCCGAACACGCCTAATATCCATTTTGTTTATCTTTATTATCTTTACTGAAGTCTTAATTTATTTATAGTATTTGTTTATGAACTATTTATTTAAAAAACGGACCAAATGTGTGCCTTGAATGGAATGAAAGTTGCGTTGGATAAAATGTTTAAATGTAACATTAATTTAATTTAACATTTATTCACAGAGACCAGCTAAATGTATTCTCAGTTACAGTTAGTTCTCATATATCTGTACATGGCTGAATCTGTCTGAATGTAAGGAAAACTTGACATCTGTTCTCAGAAATATTAGGAGAGCAGATGCCAAGAGCTTAACACATCTTTCACAACACACTGAACGGCTGCCGGACCCTCCGAAGTTTTGAATAAACATAAAATTAGTTATATTTCTAAAAAAAAAAAAAAAAACATGTTGGTATTGATAATACATGCGTTTCATGTGGAGGTTAAAGCAGCAAATGTTTGTATTGAAAGTGATGTGATTCCTTCCTATAAGGTGTTTGATGGTTTCGGCTGGTCTTTAATCACTAGAGACCGACCGATAAAGGATTTTGAAGGCCGATACCGATACAAATATTTTTGGGTTTTAAAATCCGATATATCGGCCGATATTTATTTTTTTATTAAATATTGTTGGATTTCACACACGTGTAAAAGAAAAGCTAATTTTTCTGCACAAGATACGTTTGATACTTTTTCTCTATGTCTAAATGTTCACTCCTCGCGAGTATAACTTACATTTTACAATGCAGGGACTGTAACTAGAGATATGCTAGTTATAAATACAGTAATCATTACTTTATTTAGGCAGAAAAAGTTCATTGTGGTTTCCAAGCTCATTAATGTTAACGTTAGCGGTCTTCCACTGATGATAGTGGCGTTAGCTAGCTTTGTGGTTAGCTAGTCTATGATTAGCAATAGATAACATCATACTGCAAATTGTAAAACATACATTTTCAATATAACAGGCCAAGGAGAGATGATTGAAGCATGTTTTGTCCGTTTTTATTTTATTTTTTAAATATTCATTTATCGGCCATTATAACTGCCGATATTTTGGAAAATGCCTAATATCGGCCGATAATATCAGCTGGCCGATATATCGGTCTGGCTCTATCAGAGCGTGTGTGTGTGGTGTAACTACTGACCGCTGGTCATGTGCTCCTCATTCCTGCAGATAATGCTCCTGTATGGTCCGTCCCGAAGTCTCCCTCAGAGGAAGGTGGAGCTGTGACCCTGAGCTCCACAGAGCCCTCGCCCTCCCTCAGGAAGAAGAACCTGCTCCACAACACTGAGGTAAGACCGAATCAGCTCATTTATTCCTGTGATTTTCAGCGTCATTACTCCAGTCTTCAGTGTCACATGACCCTTCAGAAATCACTCTTAATATGAGGATCTGATGCTCAAGAAGGATTTCTCATTATTATCAATTATTTACATTTGTATTATTTCAGGATTCTTTGATGAATAGAAAGTTCAAAAGAACAGCATTTATCTGAAATGGAAAGCGTTTGTGGTAGAGCTCGACCGATAAAGTATTTTGAAGGCCGATACGATACAAATATTTTTGGGTTTTAGAATCCGATATTCCGATATATCGGCCGATATTTTTTTTTTTTTATTAAATATTGTTGGATTTCACACACGTGTAAAAGAAAAGCTAACTTTTCTGCACAAGATACGTTTGATACTTTTTCTCTCTGTCTAAATGTTCACTCCTCGCAAGTTTTACAATGCAGGGACTGTAACTAGAGATATGCGAGTTATAAATACAGTAATCATTACTTCATTTAGGCAGAAAAAGTTCATTGTGGTTTCCAAGCTCATTAATGTTAACGTTAGCGGTCTTCCACTGACGATAGTGGCGTTAGCTAGCTTTGTGGTTAGCTAGTCTATGATTAGCAATAGATAACATCATACTGCAAATCAAATGTATGTAAAACATACATTTTCAATATAACAGGCCGAGGAGAGACGATTGAAGCGTGTTTCATCTGTTTTTATTTTATTTTTTAAATATTCATTTATCGGCCATTATAACTGCCGATACCGATATTTTGGAAAATGCCTAATATCGGCCTGGCTCTAGTTTGTAGCTTTGTGACTGTGTTTGCAGCAGGAGGGGGTGAAGCTGGTTCCTCCTGATGAAGAGGTGATGGATTCAGACAGTAACTCTGAGGAAGATCTGGGTGTGCTGGAGGACCAGAGGAGTGTTATTCTGCATCTGCTGTCTCAGCTCAAACTCGGCATGGACCTCACACGGGTGCGCATGACGTACGCAACACACGAGTTTCAGATAACATTCTTTACTCTGTGTGGTTTGTGCAGGTTGTACTGATCTCTTCTCTCCATTCTTTTGACTTAGTCTAACATGCAGTCTAACGTGACGCTCATCAAACCTAGCCAGTTGGGATATTTCATGTGTTCTAGCTCAAGCACACCTGTTGCAGCTAATGAAGCCCTTGATTAGTGAGAGAACACATGTTTTGCTGATGTCTAATTTTGAGACTGCAGAATTCATTAAAAGTCACTTGAAACATTTCAATTACCTTTGTTTGATTTGTTTGCAATTAACAATGATTACAACATATAACATTAGAGTTTCATTTAAAGGGTTAGTTCACCCAAAAATGAAAATTCTGTTAGTATTTACTCATCCTCATGTTGTTCCAACCCCGTAAGACCTTCGTTCATCTTCGGAACACAAATTAAGATATTTAAGATATTAAGATCGCTCCTGCATACAGTCCATAGGCTTCTTGAGGGAATGACTCTTGCTGTCCCCGAAAAGTCATTAAAGACATCGTTAAAATAGTCCAAGTGACTACAGGGGCTCAATCTTAAGTTTATCAAACGACGAGAACACTTTTGTGCGCAAAAAACAACAAAAATAACGACTTTATTTCAACTATTGGTTTATTTCTCCCTCTGCGCGAGTCAGGTTACTAGTTTAATAGCGTAAGCTTCTGTTATTGTACGTAACGTCACACGCATCACACACACATGACCAGCGTCGGCCAATAGTGAGCTTTACGCAATCACACTACGTTAACGGACTATAGGCTTATGGAGAAGGAAGTGAATAGTTGAAATAAAGTCGTTATTTTTGTTTGTTTTTGCGCACAAAAAGTGTTCTCGTCGTTTGATAAAGTTAAAATTGAGCCACTGTAGTCACTTGGACTATTTTAACGATGTCTTTAATGACTTTTCGAGGCCAGCAAGAGTCATTCCCCCAAGAAGCCTATGGACTAGTATACAGGAGCGATCCTAATATCTTAAATATCTTAATTTGTGTTCCGAAGATGAACGAAGGTCCTTCGAAGGAGTAAATACTGACAGAATTTTCGTTTTTGGGTAACTAACCCTTTAACATTTGACTTGTCTCTTTGTGTGGTTTGTGCAGGTTGTTCTTCCCACATTCATCCTGGAGAAGCGTTCATTGCTGGAGATGTACGCTAACTTCATGGCGCACCCGGACCTGTTCCTGTCCATCTCCGCGGGAAACACGGCGGAGGAGCGTATGGTGCGTTTCGTCGAGTACTACATGACCGCCTTCCACGAAGGACGCAAGGGCGCCGTCGCCAAGAAGCCCTACAACCCTGTGCGGGGCGAGACCTTCTGCTGCTCGTGGGCGGTTCCTCGGGAAGGCGTGGCTCGTGCGACCAATCAGGAGGCGGCGGGGGCGGGGTCAGATCATTTCAGGGTGCGTTTTGTGGCGGAGCAGGTTTCCCATCATCCTCCGGTGTCTGGGTTTTACTGTGAGTGCGAGGAGAGAGGCATGTGTGTCAACGCACACATCTGGACCAAGAGCAAGTTCATGGGGATGTCAGTCGGGGTCTCCATGGTGGGAGAAGGTGGGTGACGCTCTCTTCTTCTAGTCAATAAAATAATCTGGTAACACTTTTAGTTTTTATGTGTTAACTAACATGAGCTAACCATGAGCAATACAAAACGTTCAGTCTTTGTTGACGCAGTTTGTACCTTTGCTCATCAGGTGTGTTGCACCTGCGGGATCACGGGGAGGAGTACGTGTTCACATTCCCGAGTGCGTTCGCTCGGTCCATCATCACTGTGCCGTGGCTGGAGTTGGGGGGGAAGGTCTCCATCAGCTGCGCACAGACGGGATACTCGGCCAGCGTCACCTTTCACACCAAACCCTTCTACGGCGGAAAGGTTCACAGGTCGGTGCTGCACTCACGTCATGTCGTATCGTCTGTGAGAAACTTTCTTAAAGGTGCAATGTGTCATATTTAAGAGGATCTGTTGACAGAAATGCAATATCGTATACATAACTATGTTTTCAGTGGTGTATTAAGACCTTACATAATGAACCGTCATGTTTTTATTACCTTAGAATGAGTCATTTCTCTCTACACACACCTTGACGTGTTTCTACGGTGGCCCTGAACGGACAAATGATGTTCGTCGATTTGTTGAAGAAGCGAGCATCACTTCCTGTCGGCCACCGTAACTTCTTCTGGTTTCAATTCGTAACCTCACCAATAGATGATGCTAAAAACTACACACTGCACCTTTAAAGTCACTATGAAATCAAAATGGACAATTCTTATTATTTTCTTATAGAATATACTTTATTGTCCCCTAGGTGAAATTTGTCATGGACCCAAAGTGCGTGGTGCAAAGTAGTAGCTGCCATTACAAACAATAATACACATAGTAAAACAAATACCAGCTAAAGACATACATGTAAACTACACACACACTCATGACACATCTAATAAAAAACTAAAAAATAAAATAAAAAAAAATAAAATAAAAAAATAAAAATAAATAAAAATTTAAAAAAACACACAATACTAAAACAACAAGCAGAACACCAAGTTATTGCACACTTCTCATTCCTCCTCGTACAAATCTAAAAATTTTGATTTAAAATTTTGACGGAGTTGGGTATAAAAGAGTATTTGTGGAATGTTGCAGTGTTTTATCGGTTCACGTCATTATTGTTTTAAATCAGAATTACTTCCTCTTGCAGCATCTCTTCTCTGATGATGTGGGCGGGGCAACCTGTCACTCACATGAGATCCACCAATAGCAAACCACAACCATCTAATCAATTCCTCACATACACAATCAAGCCCCGCCCACATTTGTACTTGTCCCAGAAGTGTCTCACTCGGAAATATGGCACAGTAGGGAAGAAAAGACCATTACAACTTGCGTTTCATGCCGACTTTAATATTGTGTGTTCACCAAAGTATTTTTTAAATTTGTTTTTAAAGGGAACGCCACATATTTAAAAACACCAGCAGATGTGAGCGTTTTTTCATGCTGAGCGATGAAAGTTGAAAAAAATGGGTAAAACACAGCACTCATCACTCACTTTTTACCTAGCCATCCAATCACAGTTGAGGAGGGGCGGGACTGAGACCACACCGACAAATATTTTCCCATCTTGCTTGTACAACAACAACTGAAATCTTGTTGAATTTTATTTAGAAAAGGTACATTGCCTTCTAGATTTTTTAACACGCCTGACATCTTAATTATGACTTCCCAACTCATTAATACGAATTTCCTGGGAGGATTTTGTCACGTCATCCATTGTCCAACTTTAACCCGTGTAAAAAAAAATCCTATTGCAATTACTGTATTTTGCCCATAAACTTTTTTTATTATTTTGAATTTGGACTGCAGTACCTATTCCGACCACTAGTCATTCTTACATACTGCACCTTTAAAGGAGACGTAATTGAGAAGTCTTAGAGTGATAATGATGATGTGTGTGTTAGAGCCAGATCGATATATCGGCAGACCGATATTAGGCATTTTCCAAACTATCGGTATCGGCAGTTATAATGGCCGATAAATGAATATTTAAAAAATAAAATAAAAATGGACGAAACACGCTTGAACCATGTCATGGGTGTTGGAGTTGTATAGTTTGTCCACCAGAGGGTGCTCTACACCGTTCCTGTTGGCAACACTCGTTAAGTTGGTCATTGCTTGAATAACAATTAAAAGAACATCCCCATCAGTTCTCTAAACTCAAATAAGCAGGACAACATTTGTGACTAACCATCTCCAGTTTAAATAAATAAATAATAAAATAAATAAAATATCGGCCGATATATCGGATTTTAAAACCCAAAAATAATTGTATCGGTATCGGCCTTCAAAATCCTTTATCGGTCGGGCTCTAGTGTGTGTGTGTGTGTGTGTGTGTGTGTTTTAGGGTAAGTGCCGAGGTGAAGCAGAACTCCAGCGGGACGGTTGTTTGTAAAGCTCAGGGCGAGTGGAACGGGACGCTCGAGTTCACATACAGCAGCGGAGAGACCAAAGTCATCGACACCAACACACTGCCCGTCATCAGGAAGATGATCCGCCCGGTGGAGAAACAGGGCCGGCGCGAGTCCAGGTGGTTCCTCACGATATTACTGTTTATACTCAGAAAAGTAGAAAAATAAACAACATTTTTGCGTTTCCCAAAATTTTATGAATATATATGGTTTTCTTAAATTTAGTAAATTGTCTGTGATATTCTTGGGCTCAGGCGTCTCTGGTCTCACGTGACCGCAGCTCTGAAGGAGGGAAACCTTGATCTGGCCACCGAACACAAGCATCGGCTGGAGGATTCGCAGCGGTCCGACGAGAGAAACACCAACAACATGCCCTGGAAACCCAAATACTTCATAAAAGAGGTGCGTTCATGACACACTACTACAGCAACATGTGTGTGTGTGTGTGTGTGTGTGACAGACTCAACTGGGTTTGATATGGAAGCTTGTTTACTCCACAGAATAAACCGTTTGAGTTCATAGCTCACAATTCGGACTTTATAACATGCAATTTTAAGTTCATAATTCGCAAATCTGACTTTTTATCAGAAGTGTTAGGTACACGACAATACTTTTTATAGTTTTGGTCATTCATTTACAAGACAACAGCGTTTTGGGGGCCTGAAAATTAAAAGTTTTTAAAACGGTTGCAAAAAACGCTACCACTATTGTCTGTGTGTAAACTACAAAAACGGCAATGTGTGAAAACAGTGAAGTGACATCGCCATCTACTGGCCTGGCAGCAGAATACAGCGTGAACGGATCATTTTGACGATATTGTCGTCTGAATGCAAAACTCATCAAAAATGCACAAATAAAATGCTTTTCGTTTTTGACACTTTGTCATGTAAAAATACCCTTATAATAAAAGTTGCAATTACCTTTTCTTAATTCTTAGCGTGTTTCTAGGGATGCATGATATATTCGCCACCATATTGGTATTCGCTGATTTTTTTTTTTATTGTTAGGCCGAAACGGGTCTGGATAATAAATATATATGAGATGCAACTATAGAGAGTGCGGTTTTTCATCTTTAATTTGATTGGCCTGATAAGAACATTTGGCCAATATATTCAAGCCAATAAATAATGCATTATTTCCTTCAGCTGAGACACTTCAGATGCACACTGATCATCATTATGGTGTTTAATTGTTTGAAATATGATTGAAATCACTTAAAAAGGACAATACAGGTCAGTGCATTATGTGCAAGTCTTTCATATCGGCTACATCAAATTATTATGAGAACATTATAATTGTGTACTGGGACATGGATTTTAATGATGAGCCAATATATCGGTTTTCAAATGTAAAGAATTATCGGTATTATCGGGTTCGGCCAAAATTGACATATCAGTGCATCCCTATTTATATATCAACAAAAAAACAAGTCAGAATTGTGAGATATAAACATGCAATTGTGAGAAATAAAGTCAGATTTGCGAGTTATGAACTCACAAACCTTTTTTGTTTAACACGACGTATTAAAAAGCTACCTAGAAAAAAGGGGATCATTTAGATTGTGATGTTTATCACTTCATATATGTGAACAGTTTTTCCTGCGTGTGTGTTTGTCCGTGTGCAGGGGGACGGATGGGTCTACAGAAACCCACTGTGGAAATCAGACTGAGATAAACTACGATCCGCAGGAGAGAGACGCTGCTGATCACAATACAGCAACATCATGCTTTATAATGTATAAACTGTAAACCAATCTGTATATATGAAAACCTGGATCATAGAATAGACTTTTATACACTATATAAATGATATATTATTTTTCTTAATTATCTAACCGAGTTTTTGTGGATTTAACATGACAGTATTAATGTGAACTGCCATTTGATGATCTGAACGCATTGAACAACATGGACGAGATGTTCATATTCAAGCTTTAGATCTTAAACAGTCATCATGAAAACACAATCAGCTCATATTTCACCCCAATATCAAGAAAAAAAAATTAAATAATAAAGTATAATTATATAGTACTTATGTAATAAATATATAAGGTTTTTTACATTGTGAATTAAATTTTCATTACTGCAATTTAGTATTTTTTTTTACTCATCTACAGAAATATTGTAATGTGTATTTATTTAAATCAGCATAAACTAATACAACTAACACTATCACGATGAATATTTATTTTTAAATAGAAAATAAGCTTCAGTTTCTTATATTATATTTTTAGTTAAGAAGATCTAAACGAAACAGTATTTTGGGGTGAAATATGCGCATGATTTTGACACATTTGATATTTGACATGAAACTGACCAGGTGAGCATGTGGTCAGTCAGCTGATAAAATGAATGACCAATCAAAATCCTCTCCACGAGTCACTGCTAACTCAGAGCACTATTGTTAGAACCTAACTGGCCATAAGATTAGATTTTACCCGAGAGGTTTTACACAGATGCACTTTTTAATCGAGGCCTTCATTCAATCCTGTGACTTTATATGAACAGCATCACTGATGGGATTCAAGTCCACTGATTTGATTTGGAAGTTCCCAGCTGTAATTGCTGTATGATAAACGATTTCAAGTTTTTAAAGAGACAGTACTGTATTATACTCTGGATATGTAGAAGTGTTAAAGACTTTTCTGATGAGTCTATGGGTTAGTTCATCCAAAAATAATCATTGTGTCATCAATTAATCACCCTCATGTCGTTAAAACCATCGATTTTTGTTCATCTTCAGAACATAAAGAAACTTAATGAAATCACAAGCTCAATGAATGGAAGCTCAAAGAAATATCTCTTTATGAACGTTTTGAAGGGTCAGAATTTGGGTTGGATAGACTTTAAATGGAGGGACAAAGCTCTTAAAAATGTTTATTTGATGAAAAGAGGTCTTATGGGTTGCAACAACGTGAGGGTGTAATTGATGAGAGAATGGTCATTTTTTGGTGCACTGTCCCTTTAAGGCCCGGTCACATTTTACCGGTTCTCTCGCATTTCGCGCAATATTGCCCAGATTGTGCAAGTTTTAAAGCTGGTGACTTCAATTCACCACCCAGACCAACATAAACGTATTTAGTAAGAAAATGAGTTCTGTTTGAGCTATGCTTTACACACAGTGGATATATTTTTTATTTTTTTTGCCCGCGATATTTCACTATATGTGAGCGAGCCGTTACACACATCAAAATTTAGCTCCTTTTTGCAGCTCGTAGCCTACTGTAAACTGTTCATATCGGTGCTGAAATAAACATGAAACATGCCTTGCTTTTCTCAGAGTACATAATTTACAGAAAGTATTTCTAGAGGCTGTTGAATAAGATCATGTGTAAACGAAACTGAATCAGACATGTTTTTGAAATATCTGTTTCGAATAAACCTGCCTCGGCAGTCACGTGTTGCATTTTTCCTCTGACATTCAAAATTAGCATTTAATTACTTATAATAACTTAAAAATATTTCCTTTCACCACATTTTAAAGGTATTCACTTTGAAATTAATGTTTGATATGTTTTATCTTACCTCAAGGGCATCCAAGATGTAGGCGTCATTGTTTCCACAGTATTTTCAATTTTGATGTTTTTCGGTCAAACCGCAGACTTTGTCTTTCAGTCATATAATGGAGATTATTTAACACAGAGAAGTAAAAAAAAATCCACTTTTTTCATTTTAAATAGTGTGTAATGTTGCTGTTGGTGCATGAACAGTATCTGCAAAGTTGCAGCGCTGAAAGTTCAATGTAAGCAGAGATATCGTCTTTTAAAAATCAGGAAGTTTAAAGGAACACTCCGACTTTTTGGGACTTTAGCCTATATTCACCTTATCACCCAGAGTTAGATAAGTCCATACATACCTTTTTCATCTCCGTGCGTGCTGTAACTCTGTCTGACGCACCCACCGCTAGCCTAGCTTAGCACAAAGACTGGATTTAAATGGTTGCAGCTAGCATACTATCCGTTCGGTCGGTCGTTCGAATGTTTGATTTTGGCACGGAGTAAGCGCTACCGACTCGGGTAAAGACCATTGACTCTACCTGTGCGACTCCACTGAGCAAAGACACCAGCTCTTAAGTATCTTCTTCTCGATTTACTTGCTAATCTTACAATACAAAAAAAAAAAAAAAAAATATATATATATATATATATATAAACAAAACAAAAAAGCTCAATATTTCTTTCTTTACACATTCAATGTTCATAGAATTGTAAATTAAGTGGGGGCATTAATTACAATACGAAGAATTCCTCCATAAAGTTTAACAACATTTCATTCTATTTATTTTTAACTAATTTTAGTGACTTCCTCAACGATTCAATCTCTATTAAGAATAGTTATGTTCAAGACACTATTAAGAATAGTTGTTTTTTATTGTAACAGAGAATATACAAAGAGATTTACATGACAATACAACTCACAACACAAAATAAAGAAAGAAAAAAAAACATGCCAAGGGTAAAGTTACAATAAATTTAAGGTACAAAACGCTTCATAGGTCTTTCTTGCTTTTTTGTTCTTAATTTTATCTAATGAATTACCATATTGTTTTATCTCTTTCATAAAATGTTCAAAGTTTGGCTTAGCTTTAGCCCATTTTTTTGAAGTAATATGAAAAGTTGTAAGGTACTTTCGGAATCAACATTGTACAAAAAAATACAACATCAAACAGCTCAATTTGTAGATGTTTCAAACAACTTGGAAATTAAATTTTGAAACATCTAACCAAAACATTTTTGAATAAAAACAATTAAAAAAGAGATGAGTTACAGATTCATTGGCATGCCACACAATTCACACAAGTTTTCAATATCCAAATGGAAACGTTCATAAAGTAACTCATTGACAGGGTAAATTCTGTGTACAATTTTATAGGATACATACCTCTCTAATTGTATTATTAATACAAAACTTATTTGTTACAGACCAAACTCTTTTCCAATTAATATTTTCAAATTTAGATGACCAAAAACCTGTTGAGCAAGGCAAAAGTTTGTTTTTAAAATTATTTCTAATACATTTCTTACTGCATTTATCTATTAATATATTAATATCCCCAATAAATTTTGTGTAACAACAAGAACTGATTTGACGATCTATACATCTATCTATCTTTCTGACTAATCTATCTACTTATCTTTCTTTCTAACTAATCTCTTTATTTAACTAATCTTTCTTTCTTTCTACCAATCTTTCTTTTTATTGAAACTAATCTATCTATTATTTATCTATCTTTCTAACCATTCTTTCTTTCTAACTAATCCATCAAACTTCAAACTACTTTAAACTTCTTCAAACTCTCTGGTCTGGCTTTCTCAAGCCAACTTAAACTTTTTTTTTTCTAGTTTAAATCTGTATAATTTACAGTTTTTCTCGATTTGTTTTTTTTTTACACACATTTCCTGCAAGTAGCCTATGCCTCATACTCAGAACTCTACACACAAATCTAAAAACACACACACAATCGGCAAAACCCCTCAATTCTAGTGCAAAATGAAACTTTACATTCAAAACAATGTTATATATTCTCAAAATGTTATTTTGTTTTCAAATGACACACACAAACCATCATATGAATAGACATTTATAAGAACCTCAATGTGTGCTCATTGTAAAACACTTCTTCTCCATTCATCATAATGACTTGGGCCTTTTTTGTTCAGTGTTACACTTACTACAGACATTACATATATGAGTGTGTTGTAAAATATCTGAGAATATTGTTTTATACACGGTAACACATATATTTTATTTTCCCCACAAAAACAATGGGAGATAGATCGCACATTTCATACACCCCAACCAACACAAAGTTGCACATACTGTGGTCTACATACAGTCACAACAGAAAAAAAAAATGTTTATGCTGTTACAGTAAAAAAAAAAAAAAAAAATCTATGCTGCATCCTCTCTTCGGTTTTGGTATTTTATGCTAAAGCTCTGATTGCTAATTGTAAAACTGTGTGACGAGTCAGTGTGCATATCTGAATGGCAGTGTGTTCCTCGTGAAAACAAGAGATTTTCTGCTTGAAAATTGTGCCAAATGCAGAGAATTTGTGTGTAGTGTTTGGGAAAAAGTGTGTTTTGGAACTGCAATTTGAGTGTAAAGCAGGAATTGTGCTTGTAGTTCAGCAGAATTGGTTCAGGGGGTTGGTGAATGGGTTACATGTTGTGGTCATTGTGTCTCAAGTACCAGAATTTGTATGTAAACAATTGAGAAAAACTGTAGAACCTCAAGGCCATGCAGTTCAAGACTCGCGGAGCAGCAGCAACTGCCTGTGATGTCATAGAGGGACTCAAGTTAGACTGTAGGACACAAACATATCTACACAGCTCGTTGAGATTCCGAATCGGACTGCATTGAAATTCATATAAATTGAGTATATTTACTTAATTTGACAATTTATACACGATATAAATTGAGTTTTGACGCAATCTTCAGCTCGGGTGATCATAACAGTTAAGCACAGCTGAGGCTGCTGACGTCAAGACTCCACAACTACTGAGGTAAGTTAACTTAATACACATCAGAACTATACAAGACGTTTGATTTAGGGCATATATAGGTCTGATTAAATGTAACCAGGGAATTGAATATAACTAGGGAATCACCAAACGGCAAGAATGATTCAGATTTAATTTAATTTAATGTAAGTGGCGGTTGATGATAATATCTCGGCCTGGGGGAGGGGCAGCGCTTATTTACGGTGAATCATCTTTCAAAATCGCGACGTAAAATGACTTAATGTGTCTCTTTTTTCCTGTATTAATGTGTAAGGTAGGGTTGAGTACTTATTTAAACAAAGATAAATACTTGACAATTCACTTTTTAAAATTTTATTGTATGTTAACCGACAGGCAACGCCAACGGACCCTTGGAAAATGTATGAAATTGAACATGTTTGAAAATATTGGTTGGCAAATATCTTTTAAAACAAGAAAATGATTGACTTAAAAGAATCTGGGTACATTTCTTTGGCAGTTTATGTTTGATTTCGTACGGTGGTTTGTTATTAGGCATATTAGTCATTTTATTTTACATACATTTTATTTTTAAAGTGAACTACTCCTTTAAGGCCTTTTATTATGAGAACATTATTTAAGCCGTTTAAACCCAGCTGTCATCATAACATCCTAATATATAGCCTATCATAAACATAATTCACCTGTTGTATTGCTAACAGTAATCGATTTTTCATATCAACTTAAAAATAGTTTGGACTGCAAATGTCACATACTATAAGACTATGATATAAGACGTGCTATGTCATTAAAATATTATAAAGTTGTCGTAATAAAAACCGCATGAGGGCTATATTTATTTTGAGTTGTTATTGTTGAGCTTTCATTAGCTGACAGGGCTCTCTGTTGCTTATGTTTAAAGCATTAATTGAGATTTTCTTTCTGAAGAAATATGCATCTAACGTTACTGTACCTAATTCGTTTACACGTTGACTCAAGATCGGAATTAAATTGAAATTGTAAAGATAATAAAAGCAGTAGGCTATATTATTCCACCATGCTGTCTCTAACTTAATCAAATTATGTTTAGATAGGCTAACAAATGTTTTGAAAATCACAAATAGCCAACACTTATGAGTCTCTAGTTATTGCCTCGCTGATTCATGTCCGCTTCAGCCTGATGTTCCTGATGTCAGTTTTAATTTCTCCTTTGGCAACATGCAGAAATTCAACAGTATGCTTGCAAGTATACCTAAGGAAATGGAGAACAGCAGCGATGAACCATCGACCAGCGCTGCCGTGTCATCTGGGAGAGAACCAGCAGCCAGCAGCCCACCAGATGGACCTGTGGGGATTAACTCAATAGGTAATCAAAACTCACATGTAGTGGCCAAGGCCGATGTATCGGCCGATATTTTGTGAAGTGTGCATTTGCGGCCGGCGTGTACGTGTTTCTGCGAGTGACGGTCGGACTGTGTGATGTGAGTGAATGCGAACAGAAGATCAGCTTCACATGAGAAATCTTTATATCCAGTTGCCCACTGTGTCATATTCATGTCGGTTTCACTCTGTGATGGATGTAAAATTAGCATTACCTTGTCTTTGTTTGAAAAGAGTGCACTGTCACACTGTTTACTTCCTTTTTATTCACATATCGATACATTTTTAAACAGTTGCTTTATTTGTGAAAATAATACTGTAATAAGATTTCAGATTCAAGAAGTTGCCATCTAAAGTATAAGGAACATGAACTTAAATGCAAAACCTGCTGATTATTCACGTCACGTGTCAATTTCTGATTGTATTTGTAATCTCCACACCGGTTGGTCCCTCGCCTGATCTGCACAGGTGTGTTTAGTCACGAGCAGTTCAGTCTCATGCTGTTGTTGTGTGTTTTCAGGATCCTTTTACATGTTTTATGATGTGGGAAAGAAACTGGCATCGGGATCCCATGGCACTGCCTTCGAAGGAATTCGAAGAACAGACAACCAACCGGTATGTTGCTCTTTCTGGATACACCAAACTTTCTGCCTCTTGTTTCCTTCTGTCTTTGAAGTCCTGACATACACGTCAGGGTTTACAGTTTTCTTCAAAACATGTTTTAATAAAGATTGCAGATTATCATGTAAACAACAAAAATGGATCAATTCACTTATGCTTGCAAATATTTTCTTCATTCTTTAGGTGATCATCAAGTTTGTTAAGAAGCACCGGTTTGATTTCCATGTAAGTTGACAGCATTTTATTCTTCATGAAAATTTCTATCAAGAATTATTTATTAAATTCATATTCAGTAATTGATAATTCTGCATGTAGACAGCATAAAAGTTAAAACTGAAATAGACAATCAAAGCCTTAAAGCATCAGTACAGTTTCTTCTTGACTTTCGCTCACTTTGTCAATCTTTTAGATCGGCCAATCCGAACCTTTGTGTCGAGAGGCAGCTATCATGCGGATCATGAAGCATAGCGACCATGTCATGAAGTTATATGACTGGTTTGAGGTGGTACATCACAACATCTTGACTATGGAACATCCAGGTACCAACATGACCTTGCTTGATTTTGTCAAAGAAAACGGAGGTCGTCTGTCTGAAGCAGAAGCAAAAGACATCATGCAGAAACTCATCGCTGCGTTACAACACTGCAGTGAACAGGGTGTTTATTATGAAAACATAAGCCTGAGAAAAGTTCTCATCGACAAAGACACCATGCAGATCAAGTTAACCGGCTTTTACAGAGCACTGACCATCAGCGAAAGACGTGAGTGAAAGTCACTGATTTATGATGCACAGGATATGGAAATAATTATGCCGTTCTAACACTGAAAACGTATTGCTTATTTAAATCAGAGGCAGAGAGGACGATTCACACTTTAAAGGTGGCAAATGAAGGCTTATACAGAGTGCTGAAGGGGATGGTCGGAGCAAAATGTCTTTGGTTTGCTTGGAAAAATACACACTTGTCCAAAGGTGAGACCAAAAATAAGAAGGAAATGGAAATAGCATTGCTTGAAAACACGTAAAACTCTTACACAAGTGGCATTAAAGTTACCTTGATGACAAATAAGCAAATTGTAAAACACAGCAGTGAAGTTTAGCAATGAATAAATGTGCATCCAGAGAATGCTATAGTAACAGCAACAAATGGAGTGCACTTTTTAAAGTGTCTGCACTGGTGTTACCAACTTTCTCAGTTGGTCGCACCAGCATATGATTTGGTCGCACCGTAAAAGGTTTTTTTTTTTTTTTTTTTTTAATGTTGCTCACTGTAAAAAATATTTTCAAGATTCGTTATCACAACATATTTTCTTTTGTCAAATCAACTTTATAATAATTTATTTAGTTGAGTTTCTGATGATTCAATTAATCTCCTTCATTGTATTAACTCACTTTTTCTAGTTCAATCAACTTAAAATTTGAAGGTAACCCAGGTTACTTACTTTTTTAAGTTAAACCAACAATATTTCTTTACAGTGTAGTAATCACAACATTTTTTTCTTTTGTCAAATCAACTTAAATAATTTATTTAGTTCAGATAACATATAATTTTGAGTTTCTGATGGTTAAATTAATCTCCTTCATTGTATTAACTCACTTTTTCCAGTTCAATGAACTTAAAATTCTAAGGCAACCCAGGTTACTTACTTTTTTAAGTTAAACCATCAATATGTTTTTTACAGTGTACATGCCATGGGATTAATCAATGCATGCTGAGCTGATGAATAGTGGTTTTAATGCACCAATAGCAAAGGCTTTCTTGATTGCAGCAGAAATACCTGTAATATATTATATTAAACCACATGTAATATTTGCTAATTATCATTACCAAATTTCAGTAATTTGGGACAGTAATTTTAATCTGTAATTTTAGGCATTTTACATTTGATCATTTTGAACATAAATTACGGAATGCAGCAGCTGATGTTGATACAATGGCATTCTGTTGCGTATGCATGAATTTATTTAACTGAGTAGTGCATGCATGAACTCAAAAAACCCTGTTTCATGGTAACATTACCTTACTTGCATAAATGATCTCAAAATCAAACAGGACTAATCATCTCTCTTCTGAAAACCTTTATTACAGAATGCCAGGATCTACTTAGGAAACTTCATGACAGAGAGTCGGACATCACCTTACAGAACATTGTAGATCATGACTGGTTTAACAACACACCAGACACAGATGCACTGGAGTCAGACGGTGAGTCTCTTCTTATTACCTCTCTGATTCACGTCCGCTTCAGCCTGACGTTTCTGACGTTAGTTTTAATTTTTTGCGGCAAAGTCATTGCGGCATTTCAAAGTGGTTCGCGAAATGACCGCCAGGTGGCGCTGAGGGACACTTTTCAAATCAGCAGCAATAGCTTGTTTTCATATGACGTCACTGATTTGCTGTATTTAGAAAGCACTATAACTATAAGCACTATAACAACATTCACAAAAGTTCATTATTTGCATGCGATTGAAAGCCTTGCCGGCATTCACATACACCCGTAGCACACATGCACAAAAGCCTGTTAACAGCGCCTGGATATGGGATTAAGTTATCTTTCTAACATGAACTGCTAATTATTCACATGAACATCTGGACAGTTTCACGTTAATCATTCACCTGTAATCTGTGCTAATAAATGGTTCTAATAAATATTCTTTGCTTTCAAAAAAACACACTAAAGTGAGGGAAGGCCGTCCTGGTGCGCCTGAGACCGAGCCAGTGGTGGAGTACGCTGAACCATCGACCAGCGCTGCTGGGTCAGCACAGGTGTGTCCTCAAACTCCCAGACAGGAGCCGACTCCAGCCGCTGGTACGCCTGAGACCAAGCGACACACACCCCGACAGAAGCCGACTCTGAGAAGACCCGTCTCAGTCAAGACAACAGACCGTGAGTCTCCAGTTAACATGTCTAGAGTAGTCTGTGATTTCTACAACCCTAGTTCTAGAGTCAATTCAATATAGCAAACCCCCCTGCTACGGTTACGTTTATGAAAATGCCACTTTTACTAAAGAAGTAAATATACCCTGCCTATCACGTACCACTGGATTCAGGTCCATCTGTTGTTCTGGTTTTATTTTTAATCTCCTCTCCTGATCTGCACAGATGCTGTATGTTAACTTAACACGTTGTTGCTGTGTGTTTTTCAGTGACCTTGATGTTCCCTAATGACCTGATAAGGCAAAAGGAATACTTTCGGTCTCTTTATGTAGTTGGAAGGAAACTGAACAATAACGATCTAGTCCGCACAGGAGTTAGAAGATCGGACAACCAGAAAGTATGTTGCTCTTTCTCCATTTTGTTTTGTCTCTTGCTTTCTTCTGTGAACTCTGAGTCCTGCCATAAACAAGACTGTTGATGATCATGTACACGTTTCTTACGTTTGCAAAAATATTCTTTGTGTTTTAGGTTGTCATCAAATTCGTTTTGAGGTCGAGAGGTCAGGAGGAATTTAAAAAAGTAAGTTGACAAGACTTTATTCTTCGTGAAATTCTCTAGTAAGAATTGGTTTGTTTAATCCGGTTTGAGATATAACTGAATTACACAGCTGAAGTCTAGAAGCATCGGATATAGAGTTGAAGTAAAAAAAATTCACATTAGCTGGGTTTCCATCCAAACGTGAAGCAAAACTTTTTCAAATAAAAAATAAAAATTAAATGTGAATTGGGTTTCCATCAGGTTTCCATTGGGTTTCCAATAGGGCTTGATTTCTCGATATTAATCGATTCTCATTTTTACTAACCGATATCGATTTTTAAACCTCAAGAATCGATTAGTCATCCTGTTTTCATTTGATGAATGAATAGAACATTGTAGCGCGTATCCCATCCAATAAATCGTAATAATCGTTTTGCTTTGTTACTATTATTATGTCTAAATAAAGTCTCAAATTTCGAATTAGGGCCATTTTCTAACGAAACTCTAAAACATAAAGAGGGTGTAAAAAAACATAAAAGCGTGTTAAAAGATAGAATACAACGTATCGAAATCCGTATCGGATCCGTGGAAAGACGTCGGTTAAACAGCTCGTAAACAATGTCATGTAACGTCACGTTTACTTCAGAAAAACCATGTGAGCATAAACTTAGTCAGTCAGCTAGAAAAATTAACTCTAGAGTGTAGAATTTTGCTAAATATATGAACCATATTACATATTCATTATAATTTTTAATGTTCTATGCATGTTTGAATAAATCAGGCAAGTTTTTTTTATGACAGCCACCATTTAAATGTATATATTTCATATAACTTTCTTATTAGGCAAGGCAAGGCAAGTTTATTTATATAGCACATTTCATACACAATGGCAATTCGAAGTGCTTTACATAGAAGAAATTAAAAATAATCAAAAGAAATCTGAATAATTAAAACAGTTTAGAATAAAAAATAAGAAATAATAACAAATAAAAATAAAATACAGTAAATTAAAACGTTTAGATTAAAATGAAGTACAGTAACAGTATTATAAAAATAAATGTGTAATTTAAGTGTTTGTATAGCTACAAATCAGTTCATTTTTATCTTCAATATCATAGGCTACTGACTCCCATAATTTACTGTAAATTTGCCATGTATTGTACCTGATATCCAAAATAATCAATATCGAATCGAATTGCAAGCTGGTAAATCGAATCGAATTGTGATATCTGTGTCAATTCCCAGCCCTAGTTTCCAACCAGTAACAGTAAATGAAACACCGCCAGTAGTGATGTCTGATGAGCGACTGCTTTTAAGAGAGTCGGTTCCTGTCTGAGAGACGCTTTGCTTTTTTTGTGTGCTTTTTTCGAGGGAAAACGAATTGTGAATCGATTCAAAATCGTCCACCTCCGCATCGCGATGCATCTAAGTTTCTGTCGCACGTTTCTGATGCGATACTTCAAAATGTGCATAATAACAGGGTGATGGAAACACAGCTAATGCTTTCATCTTTTCCCTCACTCTTCAATTACCAGATTTGAAATTAGCAAACGTTTCATCAATCTCTTTTCTTTAGCCTGTCAGAGATGGAGAATCAATGATGGAACTGCAAAAGTTTCCAACTTGCTTGGAAATCATACGGATTCTTGACCGTTTCATCACGGAACAGAGTTGCATCCTGGTAACGGAATATCTTCCACTCTATATGACCTTCAAAAAGTACGTGGAAATGAATAGAGGGTTGCTGAGAGAATCCACAGTGAATTGGATCATAAACCAGATCATTCTCATAATGCATCACTCCACGAAGCGTGGCTTTTTTTACGACGTTGACAAGAAATGGATTCTGATCAACCCAATGACCCTGAATATAAAATTAACGGACTTTGATGTAGTGTACTTCACAAGTGAGTTTACTTTTTGATCACTGATCACTGATGACTAGTGATGACTGGTGATGTTTTACTAAACACTGGATGTGTATTGTTTGCAGGAGATAAAGAAGATCAAGCTCTAATGAGAAAAGTATTGTTCTCTAGAAAAACGATGCAATATCTCATCTCTCATATAAGCCATCCGTTTCGGGGACGAGGATACATCTCCAGAGGTAAGATCGATAACAAGAACCAAGTGTAAAACGGGACTGTCATTGTAACAGCTATAAATGCATTGTACTGTATTTCATGGTAACTGTAAGAGGACTAGTTCATTTGAAATAATAATTCAGTAAAAAATAATGTAGTTTTCATGAGATTTAATTTGATATGTATTGGTTTAAAATTGCACGATTTAGTAATGTTTACATCTGATACCGTTTCAGTTTGTTGAGCTTCCAGTCAGATAGCACTACGTCATAGCTAAAGCTTTTGGATGTAGTTAGTTAACACTTTACTTGAAGGGGTGTGCATAAGACTGACATGACATCTTCATAACCATGACATGACACACATCTTGAAAATCAAGAAAGGGTTTATGCATGTTTATGACAACTGTTATTAAGTGTCTTTCACTCAATATCGACATTTTGAGTGCAAATATGAGGTGTCATAACAAAGACATCCCAAACAATGTCATATTTGCGTTAAAAATGTCATAACTGAGCAAATGACACTTAATGATAGTTGTCACAAACTTTTTTCATATTCATAACGGAAAGTGTCATGTCATGATTATGAAGGTGTCATGTTAGTCTTATGCACACCCCTTCAAGTCAAGTGTTACCGTTTGGAGTTAGAGACGTTGGAATCAACACAGTTTTTTGACTGTACCAAGTCTATATATAATTTTATGTTTTGGAAGTAAACATTTAAAAAGAAGCTCGTGTTTCAAATGCTGGCTGTCGTTAGACTGACTTCAAACGATGGTACAGAAGCATGAGAAGCAACTACAGTGACATTCACTCGCATGAACTACAGAAGGGTCAAAGGGGATTAATCGTCTCTCTTCTGAAAACTTTCACAGAATGTCGGAACTTTAAACGGGATGTTCTTCAGAGAAAAACTTGGAGATGTAAGAATAGGACCTGTTACAACTTGAGGAACATTTTAGATCATCCCTGGTTAATGCCCGAATTTGACTGGTAGGATTTGTCACTGCGCTGTAATATCCATAACTGTGCTCAATGGTGTATGCAGACTGTGTGATGAACCGTTATGTTTTATTTCCACAGAATGAGACATTTCAATCAGTGATGGACACGACCAACGCTTCCAACCGACCCGCCAACGGAAAGAAACAGAGATCTATCTATCTTTCTTTCTAACTAATCTTTCTTTCTTTCTGTCTAATTAATGTTTATTTATTTATTTATTTCTGAGTAATCTTTCTTTCTTCCCTCCCTACCCCTTCCTCTCTCCTCCCTTCTTCATTCCTTTCTCAGGTTCAGTAGCTCCTCTTTAATCATGGCTCTTCCTTCACTGGTTCCTGGCTGCCTTCATCCACTGTTGGAAATGGGAGGTTCTAAGACCCTGTCTTCCTCTGCATGGCGCTCCAATAATATCCCGTAGCTTCATTATACAGGGTTCCTACGCAGTTTGGAAAAGTATGGATAAGTATGGAATTTGATTTGAGTAATTTCCAGGTCTGGAAAAGTATGGAAAAAGTAAATCAGAGTATGGAAAAATATTGATGTTTCCAGACTATTGTACCTATTTGGTTTTCTAAATATAAAATTAATCACTTCTAAATGTATATAATATGCAATCGTCTTTTTCATGGCATTTGGATTAGGCTGCCAGCGAGCGCTGCCTAAAGATCGTTTTTACACTTGATCTGCCTGAGTCTAGGTCTGCAGTGATTGGTTGTTACGTTGTTAGGTAGCAGTTGCCATCACAGCGCCCCTACCTCAAACAGAACTAAACATCTTTGACTAAACATGACTTTAGCTCTATTTTCTAATTTTCTGGTTAATTGTACATGAACATCCCTTCTGTTTCTGTAGGGGTTTACAGTTATTTAAATTGACAAAATTACAAAAATTAACAACATTGCACTGTACAAATGTACAAATTTAACATGATAGCATACACATTTTGACTCAGAGTGTAACATAATTGTCATTGTGGGAAAGTGCGTCACCATGTAGCGCCGTTGTGCTTCAGGATCATCTATCTACTTTCTTATTCTAATAAAATCCAAAAACGGCAATAATAAATCTTTGGAATGTAACATACTTGTTAGCAGTTGAATTTTAAAACAATTTATCAGAACAAGTTGAAGGCACACTTCGCAGTAATTCCGTTTTTGTCAAACAGCGACCCCTGGAGTCGCCGTGGAGTCCTTGTGACGTGTTACTTAGTATACAATAGTTCATTGTATTTAATCCGACTCGGTCCAATGGCAGAACTTTTGCCAAGCGTGTCAGAGGTTCTGGGTTCTAATCCGCACTAAGTAGGCGACCACCATTCGACCAGAAAGAAGTCATATAACCATTCCAATAACTCCAAAGCTGTTCAGTTCAGCTACAAATCCTGCATAGTTCCCCTTTAAATATGGTCGGAAAAATCTGTATGTGGTCTGGAAATTTGAGTCTGGAAAAGTATGGAATTTTGAAATGGAAATTGTGTAGGAACCCTGATTATACTTTCAGCTTGTGCAAGTCACATCTAGGTCGTCAAGCTCTGTTTGTTTTGTCATATCACGTTGCTCGATATACATATCGAAAGTCTCGCGATATTTATGCAATATTTTATGATGCGTCCGGTCTGACATGCACGGTTGCATTTCCCCCGATTCATTTCCTGATCCTCCTTCTCCATAAACAACATGAAATCAAGGAGAGGTTTAACTTTTCATGCTACAGATTTCCCACAGTAGTCAGAAAGAACAGGGGTGAAAAAAAAAATAAAAATAAAATAGTAATAATAATAAATAAAGTTGTCCTCCGAAGAGGGGGGGGGGTGGAGGTGGGAGAATAAAAAATATATATGTATATAAAAATATAAAAATATATATGAAGCCTGACTATAGTATAATATGAGATAGAAATTAATATTTAAGTCATTAAATTCAAGTTCACGTAAACTTGTACTTAACGGACCTTCTTTCGCCCTACAATCCAGCGCGTTCCTTAAGATCACTAAATTCAAGGCTTCTGGTCATTCCCAGGATATCGAAGTCCACTAAAGGAGGGAGGGCGTTCTCGCATTTAGCTCCAAAACTCTGGAATGGCCTTCCCGATACGGTCCGAGCCTCTGACTCGCTGACACAGTTCAAAACTAGATTAAAGACGCATCTCTTTAGTCAAGCATTCACATAATGCTTACCTTCTAGTCCTCTGTTATGCCATACGGAACCGTTTGCCACTGAAACTGCTTAACGCACCAGTGGGGCTCGACAGCCTTTTAGACAAACGGGTCGGCGCGTATGGTTGGGTTGCGGAGAGTTCGGGTTACGGAAAGTTTGTGAGTTATAACGGAAATCATTATGAACATCAGCTATGCTAATTATTTCCCATCTGCCTTTCTGCTGTTATCTCGAGACGCTTGTCCCGAGAAAAATGGCGTTCGTCAGGTCCAGTTTTGTGTCCAGCCTCTCACGGGGATTTCGGATGCCCCAACGCCTGTGATGAGACGACTCAACGCCTGCGATATGTTATGGCGCCGTTTGATTCATAAACAATATTTATATTTAATATTTATATATAAACAATATGAATGTAAGCCAGAGGAGAACTGGCCCCCGACTGAGCCTGGGTTCTCCCAAGGTTTTTTCTCCATCCAATCTGATGGAGTTTGGTTCCTTGCCACTGTCGCCTTGCTTTTGGCTTGCTTTGAGCTTGCTCAGTTGGGGTTATTTAGTGTTTAGCAATGTTGTTGATCTGTGTTGTGCTACTTTCATGTTATCACTGTGAAGCTGCTTTGATACAATCTGTATTGTGAAAAGCGCTATATAAATAAATGTGACTTGACTTGACTTGACTTGACACGCACACACAGACAGACACACACACACATATTTTTTTAAATGGCACATATGAAATATGTTTGTTTAATTTGGCTGTATAAGAAATTGTGTTTAAATATAATTGATGATAAATTGCTATTTCCCTTTGCAATTTGACTGGCCCATTTTACCTGAAACGGCTCATGCAAAAAAAGTCGGCACATCTGATGTTTCAAGAACTGTAGGGCCTAAATAATTTTATTTTATTACAAAATTTCAACACAAATGTATCAAAAACAGTCACAATTAATCATAAAAACACATGGATAAGGCATATATGGTATTGTATTATTGTCCCAAACGATTTACCAAAAAGTGGCCCAATTTAGCTGATATCACCCTAGGCCTATCTAAGTTGTCACCCTGCCTCTCCAAATGCAACACTGACATTAACCAAAATGCAATAAAAGCTTAAAAAGTACTACTACTTGTATGCGTGTTTTATTTTATTTTAAATGCCGAGCGTCACGTGACCAAACCGGAAAACAGGTCTCATCGCATCCGCTTGTCAGAGAAAGTGTTAACGGGCGTGAAAACTGACTACGATATCTGTGGATTTTTAAGGTAATCAGCTAATCTACCTAGTTCACTTTGTTATTGGGGTTTTATTCCATTTAAATATCTAAACGTCTCCGTGAAGAAGAAAAAATACAAAACGTTTAAATATCAATCTGCACGTGTGTGAGGGACATTGGTTATGCTCTTTGCTCGCTCCTTTTTAAGTTATTTTGAGTAAAACCGCAAAAAATTTCACGAAGCACATACAAAAGATGTGGACGCGATGCGACCTGTTTTACAGAATGCGGAAGTAATTGAGCATAAAGCCTAAATTAACATCAGATCTCCAGCGGTTTGTTTTTGTGGATATCCAAAGCAGACACATAGGAATCAACATTCTGTCAATTCTATCTGCACAGATTAAGTGTTAGATAATAAAATACACAAACTCTCTCTAAAGGGATCCAAAAACAACGGACACTTTAGTCAAGCATTCATTTATTATAGTGCAAAACAGATGTTGTACAAAAAGGTAGGCTACAGTAATGCATTTATTAGACGTGTGTATCTAGAGACTTGCAGTGTATTTTTTTTTTTTTGTAAATGTGTCCTGTAAACATGCTTTCTCTCAGCGAAAGATCAGTCCAATATCGCTCTATCCTCCACACATCCTAGACTAGGCCTATATGTCATGTTGTGCTTCAGTCATGAGTGTGACTCACACACCTGATCGACAGATGAACCTCATACTCACTTCGTTGTTGTTAAGATTGTGCAGACATTCAGCTTAGTAGCAATCAAAACTCATTGTATATATATATATATATATATATATATATATATATATATATATATATATATATAAATAAAGGACCTATATAAACGTGTATATATATATATATATATAAACGGACCTTGAACCGTTTGGTTCCCATTGAACTCCATTATATGGGGAAAAATGCTGGAATGTTTTCATCAAAAGCCTTAATTTTTTTTCAACTGACGAAAGAAAGACATGGACATCTTTGATGACATGGGGGCGAGTAAATTATCGGCAAAAGCTTTTTTTTTAAAGTGAACTACTCCTTTAAGACAATGACTGATGAGACTCCTTAGGCAGTAAGGAGTGTGAATCCCGTCTCAAAGTTGACCAGAGTAACGGCGGCTTGCTCCGCGTCCGGAGTCGGGACTGAAGTCAGTGATTCTACAGCATTTTGACTTTGAACCTGAAACAGAAGATAAAGCAGACGTTTATACACACTTCAGCATATTATATACGCTTTAACCTCTTAACTGCCACCCCCCTTGTCCATTGAAAATGCACATTTCGGACTTAAATGGTTGTAATTCAAGAATGCTTTGCAATATAGACGTAAGACTGGTCTCATTTTAAAGAAGACATTTGGCAGATTTTTGTAGAAGTGAAATAAATTAAGAAAGTGAAACAGAAAAAAAAAACATTTTAGTAAGAAGTTTGATGTAAAAAAATGAATTATTCATATTTTATATAAAATATATATTTTCAAAACCTGGGCTACTCTAAAACTGCGAAAAAATCAAAGCCAAAAATCTGAACAAGTTGTGTTTAAAATTTTAGGTTGATATCTCAGTTTTAGTGAGATGTTGTTTGGGCGCAGTACCACTCTTTTTCACTAGGGCACAACCAGACTCCATTACTGCCCATATAAGGGCGCCTCCATTTCCATATGTGTTTTTTTTTTTATTTTTTTTTTTATTTTTTTTTTTTTTTATTTATTTTTTTTTTTTTTTTTTTTTTTTATTGCAAATTAAAGAAAAAATACAATAACAGCAAACAGAGGAGGAAAAAAATACAAAAACAATAATAGAGGGGTTACAGACATCAAAATAGATTGCATTAACTTATACAAAATAACATATTACAATTTGTAAAAATAACCCAATTAAAGGTTCTTTACCACAGACTCCAAAATATTATGTGTTCTAGAAACCTTAGAGTTTAAAGGTTTTGACAAATTTTTAAATGAAGAAAAAAGGGACTTTAAATCAGATGAGAACATTCTAAAATCCGGCTTACAATGAATGGTTCTGGCTTTGTGAAGATGAAACTTGCCCAGAAGACACAGCAGAAATACAGTATAATTAAAATTAATATCATTAGAACAAAAATCTGATAAAAAAATTATAGAATCAGAAATTTGTACCAATTTCTTGCAACAGTAAAAAACTAACAAGGTAACATCTGACCAGAAAGATTTAGAAAATGGGCATTGATAAAATAAATGAAGAATAGATTCTTCTTCAATATTGCAAAAGGAGCATAAAGAAGATACATTCTCAGAAAACTTGCTCAAGAATAGATTACAAGGGTAATATCTATGAATAATTTTGAAATGGAGTTCTTTAATTTTATTAGGAATAAAAAGTTTATGAGAAAAGGCCCATAAGTAATTCAAATTAGAGTTGGGATAACAGATACTCCATTTAGAACGAGCTTTAGGAAGAGTTTTTGAAGATGAAGAAAGAGCATTCCTAATAAAGAAGTTGTTGCATTTTTTATCTAATATATTAACACCATTAAAAGCAAGTGTTGGAATAAAGTTGTTTACACGGTTGTAACTTAAATGCGCTTTAAACAAGGTTCTTACACTTACAGGAATGCTCTTAGTCACCTTATTAAAATCTCTTACAGAAATCGTAACACTTTTTAGGGACATAAAATCATAAATGGAAAGAAGGTCTCCTTGAGCACTAAACAAATCGGAAACAAAAATAATATTTTGATCCACCCATTCTTTGAAAAAAAGAGACTTGTTACCACACAGTACATTTTCATTATTCCAAATAATACACGTGTGCGGGGAGAAGTTATGTTTGAAAGCAATCTTCCAGGATTCAAGAGCTTGTTTATGAAAATTTGAGAGTTTAATAGGTAATTTGCTACACTTAAAATTACAAGATAATAAGAATTTAAGGTCACCACATTTTTTAAAGATTAAATTAGGGATCCAAAACCAGGGTAAATCATTTTAGAAATACAATACTTAATCCAGTTAATTTTGAATGTCTGGTTAATAGTTTGAAAATCTAAAGCGTTAAGACCACCCTCCTTGTAACTTCTTATCAAAGATTTTCTTTGAATGCATTCTGTTTTATTTTTCCAAATGAAACGGAATAGCAGAGAATCAATAGATTTAATCGTTTTTTTATCAACATATAGGGAAAGAGCAGGGTAAACTAGGCGAGATATGCCCTCAGCCTTAGACAGCAGGACTCTCCCATAAATTGTCAAGTCTCTCTGCAGCCAGCAACATAGTATTTTTTTGGTTTTATCTATCCTTGGTTGAAAATTGATGTGAAGACGTTCTGAACCTGATTTGCAAATATCGACCCCGAGGTATTTTACCTGCTGTTTAACTTTAATACCATCAACAGAAACTTTATCTGAATCATGCACATACAAAATTTCACTTTTCGTAGGATTTACCACCAATCCAGAAGCTTTGGAGAAAAGATTAAAAATGCTTAGGGCGCCAGAGACTTGTGAATCATTTTTAAGAAAGAGACAAGTATCATCAGCTAACTGACTAATTATTAAAGTGTTCTCTCCAATATTTATACCCTCAATATTTGAGTGTTTTATATACAAACTTAGAAGCTCAGCAGCCAATAGAAATAGAAAAGGAGATATGGGGCATCCCTGGCGAATACCTCGACCCACTGAAAATCGGGGAGAAGTGCCGGAAGCTAAGGAGACACAACTGTTAATACCATTATAAAGAGTACGAATCATATTAATAAAAGAACTACCAAAACCAAACTTAGAAAGGGCTTCAAAAATAAAAGAGTGCTCAACTGTATCGAAAGCTTTATAGAAGTCGATAAACAAAATTAAAGCCTCTTTGTTTATAAAATCAGAATAATCAAGAATATCTAAAATTAATCTAATATTATTAGAGATATGTCTACCTTTTAGAAAACCAGATTGAGAGTCAGAAATTATGTCTCCCAAACAAGGCTTAAGCTTTTCAGCATATACAGAAGCCAATAACTTATAATCAGAGTTCAAAAGGGTGATCGGGCGCCAATTATCTAAAAATTTGTTATCCTTATTAGGTTTGGGTATAAGAGAGATGAGACCTTGTTTCATAGATTCTGCCAATTCACCTTTCATTGAACACTCAATAAGGGCATCGTAAAGAAGATTTTTTATAGAGTCCCAAAAGACTTTAAAAAATTCAAAGGGTAAGCCATCTGGCCCCGGGGATTTATTATTAGGCATTCTTTTGACTATATTATAAAGATCATCTATATTAAAAGGATCCTCACATTTTTTTCTGTTTTGGTCATTAATTTTAGGAATAACAGATTGAATCTTTTGAAAAAACAAAGATGAAGCGTTGGGGTCAAAAGTGGAGGTATACAAATTTTGATAAAATTTAGAAACATGGGAAGAAATCACAGAGGAATCATTAGATAACGTATTATTAATATACAGAGAAGAGATTTTTTTATTACTGCCGCGTTTCTTCTCAAGGTTGAAGAAGTAGGCAGAATTTTTTTCTCCAAACTCAAGCCATTTTGACCTCGATCTAATAAAAGCACCCTTTGCTTTTTCTAGAAAGAGATCATCCAGACAGGCTTGTGAAGTATAAAGAGATTCCTTATCCTCCTCACTAAGGTTAGGGTTCTGTAAAATTTCATTTATTTTTTTAATTAAGTTTGCAATTTCCTTATTTTTAACAGACATTCTATTTTTTCCAAATTTAACCGAAAATCTCCTACATTCATATTTAAATAGCTCCCATTTCGAAATAGCCGAGGTATTAGCCTGAGATTTAACACTCTCTGCGATTTTCTCAATCTCTTGACAATATGATTCAGAGAGTAAAAAGGAGCAATTTAACTTCCAGTACCCAGGGTTCATTTTTCTTCTTCGCTTGGATTTATCATCCGATAACGTTATGTTAATCACTGCATGATCAGTTAAAGGTGAGGGTGAAATTTCTGCTGATACCAAAAAAGAAATTAAAGAGTCTGACATCAGCCACAGGTCTATACGTGATTTTTGAGAAAAATCTGACTTAAACCAAGTAAACATGTGTGTATCGGGGTGTAAATATCTATGTGCATCGATCAGGTTCAGACATTGACAGAGATTTGCAATCAGGGGGTTGACGCTATTAGATACATGTCTTGGTGGGAATCTATCAGCAACTAAGTCTGGTGCCTCGTTGAAATCGCCACCAAATAAAATAAAAGCAGAGGGATATTTAAGTTTTAAATTATTTATATGAATGACTATACTATCAAGTAAAGTTTTGTTGTTTGCAGAACTATTGAACCCATATATGTTAATCATTATAAAAAAATTGCTGTCCAAGTGAACAACTGAGATAACCCACCTTCCAATCCCTGAAGAAAGCGTTTCTATAACCTTTCCTTGAAATCCACTATTAAGCAATATAGCGACCCCACCTGATGAACTTGAGTTATGACAGAAAGAAATAGAGCTCCCCCACTGATTACGCCAGAATTTTTCATCGTTTACACAAGAATGCGTCTCTTGCAAAAAATATATGTCCCTTTTAACAGATTTACAAAACAAGAATAAAGCTTTTCGCTTGTTTAAGTCACGTAGCCCCCGAACATTCAAAGAGAAACATGAGAAATGTGAACTAAACATAAAAACAGAACTCAAACTCTTTTGAGTAGCCTAATACGACTGTCAGAACAAGTACAGAAGAAACTAAATATGCTTCTTAGAAGATATGCGGAGCTTATAAGGCTCGAACTCCCAAATCAATTAGGAAAGTCAACACACTCCGTTATGGACCCAAAAAAACAAAAAACAAAAAACACTTCACCTTCCCATTTCGCAAAATACAAAATAAGGGGCATATTAAATATCGTAAACAGAAATTCTCTTCCCGTTAATGAAGGCAACGGGCCCGTTAAACCCAGCTTTCTTTCCTTCCTTTCTTGCCTTTTCAACGAGTGGCCAAAGTTTGTTTCTCGCTTCTTTGTCTTCCTGCGTAAGATCTTCCAAGATCCGAATTTTCTTCTGTTTCAACAGCTCAGAACGTTTTGCTTCCGCCCAAATTGCATCTCGGCAAGTGCGGGATAAAAACTGAACGATGATCCGTCGCGGAGTGGTGTTTCCAGACTTAGGACCAAGCCGATGCGCGATGTCGACCATGTCCTGCAGTTTCTCCGCGGAGTGTGGAGAAAGGTTCCTGAACAGCTCAATGACGACCATTTTGACGTTTTCCCCCTCGTGCTCAGGTATCCCGGCTACACGGAGGTTCCATCTGCGCTTGTAACTGTCCAAACCGCTGCATTTCTCATTAAGAGCTTTATTTTCCTTTTCCAGCTTCACAACTTTAGCTTGCAGAGAAAGCACCTTATCCGTCACGTCCTCCACCTGCTTGTTAATAGATTCAAGCGAGCAGGTGAGGTTACAGATCGAAGCAGTGTTATCTTTCACCGATGCCTCGACTGAATGCAGTTTTACCAAAGACTCTTCTTGTAGCTTGCTAACCTTTTCGATCGCCGCTAGCAGCACAGAATTAGAGACCGAGTCGGAGGCAATAGAACGAGGTTTCTTCAGAGCAGGGGACTTACTAGGAGTGTCGGGAAGGCCCCCAAAAGTATCTTCAAGACGTCTTGAGTAGTTGTGTACCTTTAGATTTTCGTTGTTTGCAGAAGCCTCAACAGAGGCTAAATCCATGTTTTCTTCCATGGTAGTATCAACGGCGCAAGCTTACTTCACACAGGCGTAGAAAAAAAACTAATTAAAATAAACGCAAGGAGGGTCCCAATAAATGTTAAAACAGACTTAAAAGGATGTGTTAAGATTCCACTACAAGTTATATAGAAAATTAAGCATAGAAGTTCAAGCCTTAAGCACAGCACATAATAAAGGATTAGAGCGTAATAAAGTTGCTGTTAACACGGCGCCATCTTGACCCGACCTCATTTTCCATATGTGTTTTGAGTGATATGAACCATTATTTTCACAATTTTCATACAATTTATGAAGTAGAAATCCTATTCAGAAGTAGTATGGGAAGTTTGGCAGATTTTGATATGAATTCAACCTCTAAGAAACAAAAAGTACACACATGCGCGTGAGTTATAGCTTATGCCACATCACAAATGGTGATTTTTTTTTTTTTTCGTAATATTTAAAACATTTTCAGACCTTTTTTTCTAAAATAATTTAATGGATGCAATCTTTTGAACTCTTGGCATGAAAACAAACAAATTTTTCAAGATTTTTCATGTTCATTGCTATTTCAAAATAAAGGTCTAAACACGCTTCATGAGTATGAAAATATTCTTGTTGCAAATTGATAAATTACGGCTCCTGTGTAATTTATTTTGAAAATCAGTCACCAAATATGGAAACTAGAGATTGTAAGCTTTCAAATGATATATAATTTTGTCAAAATTAAGGTCTTTTCTAAGATATTATTGTTTTAAAAATATAATGGCAAGCGCCCCCCCCCCCCCCCCTGTGGGACGTGACAGTTATGCAGGATTCAAGACGTTAATGCATTAATCTTACCATAGAGTCATTTTAAACAAATAATGAAAATCATCATCAAATTACAAAATCAAAATTTCTATTCGTTCAGATGTTTCTGCTATCAATCTGTCCATCCCTGATTCGTGCATTTTAAGATGTATTTTAAACTGTTTCAAAACAAGATAATGATCATGTTGGACATCTCACCTTTTGCACTTTAAAACAAAGCCAACACAATATCCCTAGAGCTGCGAGCAGAGCTAATACTCCTGCTATAAAACACCATCGAGACTCTGTTTCTCCGCCAACACTGCTTCTGTCTGCAGAATAAACACATCATATGCATTCCACATGGTGGAGTGAATTAAAGCACTTTAATTGTTTGTGGAAAGCAATATTAATAGCACTGACTTGCATATAGTTTCATATGTAATGCAGAAGCAGTGTTACTGTATAAAGGCCATTCTGCACTTCACTCAAAAATGAAAGCAGTTTACTGTAATCATCAGGAGATTTACTAGCAAACATCTGGAGAACCTGGCACACAGAAACAAAATCATAATGAAATTAACAAATAAATAAATAAATGTTCTTCATATTCTTAAAAATAAAATAAATACATCAATAGCTATTGAAATAAATAAATAAATTTTAAAAAAGCCCTGTAAACACTTTTTTTTTGCAAGACTATAAGTGTGTCCAATCGAGTAATCAAAAGTTCTACACACACTTGCGGTCTTTACGCCTACTATGGGCCAAACTGAGGAAATACATCATGCAAGTGGTATTTCATCAAACCAAATAATTTTTTTTTTTAATAATGAAAAATGCCATTATTTTATATATATATATATATATATATATATATATATATATATATATATATATAAAAAAGTTAATAATTGTATTTTATTGAAATATATTTTAGTTTGTCTTGTATTTTGATTAGATCAGATAGAATTTTAATCTATGGTGATGTTACAATGAACAACTCGCATGCAGTGAACCCCCATAAGTTATGGGGCATGTTGTCACATTTCACTTCCGTTCTCTCGTCTCGGGGTATATCAAGAAAAAAAGTACAGCAAAACCACATTGTATTAGACATGTGGGACATTACTGTTGGAAAAAATAAATTCTATGAACCCTAAGTAGATTTACACAAACTGAGTAGGCAAAGTCAAAAAGCATTATAACTAATATAAGTATACACTTTTCCCTACTATCCCTACAAGTGTGGGATCGATACAGTTCTCTCAAATATCATTAAACCAATTAGCCAATGAGAACACAACTTGTGTCATGTGTAGCCTAGTCAACAGATTCACATATTGATCTATAATACAAGTTATTCAAGTATGTGATCATAATGTAAATGTACTACAAATATATTTAGGGTGTTCTGTTTAGAAAATATAAATTATGTTATAGGGATAATGCGTCCTCCATAATCATTTCGCTTTTTATGGACCGTTTTTATTATTATTATAATGATAATGAAAACAAAATCAGTCCGGAGGCTTCAAACGTCATCGATCAGGTGGTATTGTGATTTCGATCCGCATTGGCTACAGTGTGTGACACATTGAGTATCAACAGTCCCATCACTGCAAGGCACTTACACAACCCACACATCCCAAGAGAAGCTGTTTACGTTTGCATTAAGATGCTTTTCAGTGATCCGAGCAGCACAAAAGTGGTCAGCTAATGCATTACCGTTAACAGGTATTAACTTAATGCGTATCAAATGAAGTGCGCCTCCTGTGCCCATGATGCACTGCGGAGTGGTTGTCGACAGATAAGATTCCCCGTCATCAGTCATAGCCATCATCACTTCAGCGCACTAATGGACTACCACTGTAGGCTACTGAACGAACCCGTGTTGATGGGCTTACGCGAATAAATAATAATAATAGTAGCCTAACGTAATATAGCCTAGTAATTAATTCACAGATTTAGTATACTCAGCTAACAATTTTACGTTCAGGAATGTTATAGTTTTTGGTTCCCAAGAACGTCTCGCTGATCCAGTAAAGTTTTCTAAATGTAGCTATAGAAAATATGTATATAGGCTATATGTAGCTAAATATAACGTTCCGTGTGTTTGCTGGGGCTATAATAGCAGAAGTAAAACTACTGTTCTTACCTTTGTGCTCCTCTTGATCCCCATCGCATAGAAAAGGGTGAAATATAAGCCAAACCATAAAAAAAACTATAAAGAAACTGTTTTTAAACGTGCGAACCATTTTACTACTGTTTATATGTGTCATTTAAAGGCCAGCGTCTCTAGTGCTGCTGAGTCACTGTGCCGAAGGACAAGCTTTTAAACACTTTCGTTTTCTCATTTAAACAACAACATCATCATCATCATCATCTGATGAAGATTCTTGTACTTTTGCAGCTGTTTAGTGAACTCACACACTTTAAGATCATGTTAGGCTACATTCGGTTTTTTTTAAGTATGTTTTCGCTGCTTTTATGAACTGAAACAAATGATTGATATTGGTGAATATTAGCACTCGATCTAGTTCAAGACATGTATTTATTTTATTGCACACTGAACACAACACATAGCTAGTCCACAGAGGCAAATTTATACATTTGTCAGACACTTTTATCAAAGATACTTGAAGCTGCATCTACATTTGATCATGTATTCTCTGGGAATCACACTATGGCATTGCCAACACTGTTATCACCATATATATATATATATATATGTGACGGGTCACTCCATTCTACTGTTGCTGCTACACATCACCACGGACAATCACTTGGATCAGGTTTCTTTATTGCTGAAACACAGTATGACCGTTACATATATATATATATATATATATATATATATATATATATATATGGTGATAACAGTGTTGCAATGCCTAGTGTTTATATATAAAGGCTAGATATGTCGTCCACGCTGCTGGCCAATGGAGGTCGACGTCTGCACCTGGCGGCCATCTTGTCACAGGCAGCTCGCTCACTCGTAACATTGTGTTAATGGTACATGTACTATTTAAATGACCATAACTTCCTCAATTTTCAACCGATTTTCAAACGGTTTGTTTTGTTATAAACGTCAGAGATGTAGTTATGACACTGCATACTTATTAATAAAAAGTGTATAAATAAATAATATAGCCACGACACGTTAATAACGTTTATAAGAAACCAAACCGTTTGTAAATCCGTCAAGATTTCAACGAGATAAGAGTATTTGTGTTCGTGTTGACCACTCATCTTACATCAGCTTGTCTGTGACAAGATGGCCGCCGGTGATGACGATGGAAACTCCGCCGTAACACATCTAGCCTTTATATACATAAAGCTTTTTATACATATAGCCTTTATATTTCTATGGTTATCACGATCATATGAACAGCAGCACTATAGGGACACACAGGCAGCCTATGCAACAATACAGATTAAAACATGAAAAATGAATACTTAAAACACACAGACAAATAAACTGACAAGATTTATAACAAAGATCATTACATAAATTCAACCTGTAGTCTTCATGAACACTTGAAACACTTATAAAAATGAACACTATATAAAAATGTATATTATATTAAAAAAAATTCTCTGACCCTTGTGCAGAAAATAGTATTTACAAATAATTTTGCACCATAATTATTTCTCTAATCACAGCAGAAAATATAAAATAAATGATACAAACTGTATTTTAAATTCAATGTGTGGATTATAGTCTGATATATGTTGTGTTTGTCACTTAATTGCTCAAATTGGTAATTTAGTAACATATGTTTGTAAATGATGTAAATGATTTAGACTGTCCATCTTTGCCCCAATATCAAATATCTCTTCTTATGATCTTACATGTATTTTCTTTATTACATTTATTGTAATTGATTATTGAAACAGGCGCATTTCATGGCCATTAATCACATTTTAGTTTAGAATATTTTATCTAATAGGACTGCAATACATTATATTATATTGCACATTTAACAAGCTATTGTGCACATTTATGCATACCATACACTCATATCGCATTCAAATCTATAGGCTACATTTGATCATGGGAATCAAATCCATGACGTTGGGATTTTTACACCATGATCATGATTATCCGGGTTACAGGATACCTCTATCACGATAGATAATCATGAGTCGTAAATGTTACGAATATACTAAAAATCACCCCAAAAAATAAAAACACACAGACAGCAAGCTTCCCAAACCTGATTCAACATGTTTTACAGAGAAGAAAAAAGTCTCCAGACCGGATTTTAAAAAAGCCATTTGAAAGGAAGGACTTTAACTTCTGAAAGTGGATCACAATCACAATAATAACACTTACAGTAGATATGTATTGGACTATAACCAGCAAACAGAAGCTCTATACAGTGAGGAATGCACAGCAAAGGCCTATCTTAGTATGACAGAGATACAACGGCAATGACTCGGACAAAACACGGTTTGAATTCTACAATGTGTGGCATACATACAGTTAATGTCTCTATTTTAAGAAAGCATTGTATGACTGAGTTCCTGAAGAGTGTAAGACTGTCACGTTGATCTTTTTGCCGCTTAACACTTCAAATGCATCTCTTACGAACACTTTTAGGACAACTGATGTGATCCTGAGGCTTTCGCGTGTGTAAAACACTCTCACTCGCTGTGTATCTGACCTAGGAAAGATACAGAAGATTATACACAATAAAAACAGTGAATTCGTTTTTTTTAAAATATCTTTTTGAAAGAATATTTTTTTAAAAACAAGAGATTTAAAGCAAAGATCATTTTGAATAACTCGCCATCTTTTTTTGGATGCAGCAACCAATCACAATGAGAGCTAGAGCCGCTCCAACTACTAGAAGACACTGACATCCGGTTTCACTGCCAATATATCTTCTATCTGCAGAAGGAAGAAAAGAAATAATTACAGAATTTTAATTGCACTAAATTGTTATAGATATTTAAACACAGAAGACGTTATACTGCACGTTTTAGATCTCAAAGCTCATTGCCCAGTTTTCTATCAGGATATCCTTCCAAAAGATCCCACTAAATGCAAGTTTATTTTTCTCAATTGCTCTAAACATGCTGGTGCTTCCAAATCTCGTGTCAAAGTGTTTGTGACGGTGAAATTGAGGATAAAAAAACAAACAAAAACATTTCATGGCCCATTTGATTATTGAAAACATCAACACTTCTCTTCTTTCCACAGATACTGATTAGTATTCAATCTTCATATATATACAATTTAAATCATAATCACAACAAAATGCATGTTGATATTTACTCCACACTGTTACAACCGGTCGTGATTGAGTCAGACCGCTGTGAGTGACCAGACAGTCGTAAGATCCTTCATGGTTTCTGTCGATCTTCACGCTGATTCTCTTCTGAAAGGTTTCATCATGATTTGCTCTGATTCCAGAAGATGTTTGATCCTCAAGATTAATTCTGTTCAATCTAATGTTCATCTCAACATCTCTGGGGTAGAAACCAGTGGCTAGACAGGTCAGAAGCAGCTCACCGCCATCATCAGAAAGTTTCGGCACAAAAGCGTGAACATGTGGAGGAACTGGAGAAGGAAATCATAATGCAATTAGCAAACAAACATTTACAAAGAATTGAGTTTTCTCATGTTGCTGTGCTGTTAAAAATCTAGGGTTTTGTTCCAAAGAAATCGGCAAGTAATGAGAATTAGTCTTTAATAACATCTGCTAACTAGTTGGTGGATCTAATACCAACTGAAAATCATCCAGATGAACATCCATTGATTTGCCAAGCCTAACTCGTTTACACGCCACACTGGTTCTGCACTAATAAACACAAAGACACGATTACATCTAAAAGTGTAGAGAAAACCCAACCCGATCTCACAGGAATTCGTACGAATTTTACGAGGTGCATGGCTAATTTGTAACAATTCGTACTACCTCACTCGTACATATTTTACGAATTAGCCAATTCGTATTAATTCGTACGAATGACCTACCCCTGACCCCGCCCCTAAACATAACCGTCACGTGGGTTTAGACAAATCGTACAAATTCATACGAGTGAGGTCGAATGAATTAGTACGAATTAGCCACTTTTGAATCACTCGTACGAATTGGTCGTGAGTTATGTGGCAAAACTGGTAGATCTTACTCTGTTTTGTGTTGTGAAGCGTTGAGATCCAGTCAGTGCAGGTCTTCAGATAATTTTTGATAAACTGGTTTCGTTCTGTTTGAAAATCCCATTTCATTTTAGTTTCTTTGGCTTTGGGGGTTTTATCAATCCACTGCGCGGTGTCATAATCAAAGGATATAAGATCTTCTCCATCAAATCCATAATCATCAAAGACAGTCAGATTCACTGATCCGTCAGGAAGTTTCTCCAGTTCACAGCCAATTATTCTCTGAAGAACATGACCTACAATCACAGATCATGAGAAACTCACAGTAAATAATATAATGTCTGATAATAAGAGTAAAGCATGAATCTCACCAGGACACAGCGAGTGTGTGCAGTCCGACAGAGTCCTGATCTGACGTATGATAAAGTCTTTTGAGTCAGCCGGTTCCTCAAGTGTATTTGTCCAGTCGTGTGCACTCTCTTTTATCCAAACTCGTTCTTCATTACTGAAGTGTTTGATGCGTCTGTCGTCATAGACACACACACCACTGAACTCGGGGAATGTGTGTGTTCTGGTCAGGACTGTAAACTTGTAATGGAGGAAGTGTTTCTCTGAGGAACGAAGCAATGGAAACACGTGAACAACTAAAATGTATTTATAAAGAACAAAGTAGAATCACAATAAAAGACAACGCAATTTGTAAAATGATATATAGGTGAAGTGTGCTAAAAAACAACAACATGTACAATATATCCTGAAAACAAACTCCAATTGTTTACGTATCTGTCGATCAGAAGGAAGTGCTGCATATGGAAATTAAAAAAGCTTTTTTTTTTCTTACCTTGCTGTGCATCGCTTAGAAAAGAGCAAAAACATAAAAAACTAAATAAAATCATTCTTGTGTGTGTGTGTGTTCACTATTCTGCTCCTAGTGGACGAGGTTAAATGTAAAAGACAACCTCCATGGGTTAACAGTTACACAATCATGTCATGTCTCTTATGTCTGAAATGTTTTGCATCCTGTAATGAGAAACATGAACTCTCGCTTGACAATTCCTAAATGTCTTCCTCTTGAGCAGCTTCTGTTTAAAAGCAGCTTCCTGTTATTGAGCAAAATAATTACAGCTCTAAGACAATAGTGTCATTATACAACACAATTCAGTTCTGCTGGAGTTTATATAAACAGTGCAGTGCAAATATATTGCAGTTTATCTAAACATAACAAAACATAAAATAAAAGCATGACGTGGCCCCAGACTAACCCATGGTGAAAAAGACGTACAATTAAGTGTGTTAAAAATGTACTTAAATATGTTTTTAATACAATACAAATATAATGTAATGCATTTTTAATACACTTAATTGTACATCTTTTTCACCTGGGAAGGCTTAGCAGACATGACGTGAAGAGACTCAGGCTTGGCAGACATGACGTGACCTGGTTCTGGGTGCAGGATACGGCTCCTCATCCGCTATTTATTCTAACTACAGTTTTTGCTGTTGTTGTTGAAAGAATATTTAATCTCCTTTGACTATCGGACACATGCTGTATTCAAATGAGCTGAGGGAAATGACTGATATCAATCAAACCTAAACTGCACCAGGTTCAACACATGAACACAGTTACTTAAGACTCAAAAGTTACTCCCGTTTCATTTTGGTTTCTTTGGCATTCGGGCTGTTATCAATCCACTGCATAGTGTCATAATTAAAGGACATAAAATCTGCTCCATCTAATCCAAAATAATTAAAGACAGTCGGAATCACTGATCCATCATCCAGTTTACAGCCAGATATTCTCTGAAGAACATGATCTACAATCACAGAACAACACACACAAACGTATATTTATTGACTAATGATAAATGACACCTCTGTAATTGCATAAGGAAATATGTTGATTAATGCTTCTCTCTTAACATCTAAACTCACAAGAACAGTATGCAGATGGTGTGCACTTTGTCAGTGTGTGCAGCAGATCTACTGTAGGTACCAGTCTCTGGTTTCAGGAGGTTCTGCAGGAAACGAGTCTGTTTTGGTCAGCACTGTAAACTTGTATTGGATGTAATGTCTCTCTGAGGAACACATAAAACACAAACAACTTGTGTTTGCTTTCGAAACACGTTTGACAAAACTTCAAAACATCTGCGAATCATTTGTGTCGAACCAGTGATTTAGATAAAACTATCAAAGTGAGGAGGAGGAGGTGAGTTAAAGGTGTGGTATAATGCCCTTTTCACAAGATGTCCCCAGAGTGTATGTGAAGATTTAGCGTCAAATACCCTACAGATATTTTTTATATTTTCCCTTTTTGCGTGTCAGTAAAAACGCACAGTTTTGTGTGCCCCTTTAAATGCAAATGAGCTGCTGTTACCGTCGCAGGGGGCGGAGCTTCCAGAGCTCGTGTGTTAGTAGTTCCAATTAACTCACTCAGACAACAACATTTCTGAAAATGTTAAGCCTTTTATGTTCCAACCAGATGTCCGCACTGGAGGAATGGAAGTGGAGGACCATGCTAAAGAAAAGTGAAAGCATGAGGATATATTCATTCATACACCTCACACCGAACGCTGAAGGGAAAATCACTCGTGGTCTGGCACCTGCCTGTCAACCCGATCTCTACGAGGTGGCTGATTCCTAACAATTCATACGACCTCACTCGTACAAATTAGTACGATTTTGCTAAATCGTACATTTACGAATTGGCCAATTCGTATGAATTCGTACGAATGACCTACCCCTGACCCCGCCCCTAAACCTAACCATCACGTGGGTTTAGACACGAGTGAGGTCGTACGAATTAGCCAGCCACTTTTTAATCACTCGTACGAATTGGTCGTGCATGTTCACACCGCGGAGGTCGACAAGTGCTTCTGCTCAGTTGTTGTTTATTCAGAGCTACTTTTTTACATCATGGGTAAGTAAATAACCTCATAATATACACCATGTTTCTGTAACCAAGAAGCTTGTACACTTATTTTATTAATCAGTTGTCGAGACACACACTTATCAACACCTGCCTGCCCCTCTCTCTCTCTCGTTGTTTGCCTGTTTGTTTTTGTGTTTGCATTTGTCACTCGCGGTATTTTAATTTGAAAATGACTTATATTTTGACAATTGAACGGATGGTCGAGTGTTTCTTGTAACTTCCTGCCGGAATTGACGCGGATCATTCGCGGCTCGCGGAAAAAAATAGAGACGCCGAAACTGTCGCTCCGCGTCGGGTGTGAACGACGCCATAGGTTTAGAGTTTGATAAAAACTCCAAAGTGTGAAGCTATTTAACCCAAATGTGAATAGAGGATGGTTTATGCAAATGTTCTATTTAGTTTTGCAAGAAGATTGTTGCCTATAGAAAACGCTAAAGTTAAACTAAAGTTTAGCTAGTAATTTGTTTTTTGTTTTTTTTTATTTGATGTCTCTTTATGTTTGTTCTGTCAATGCCAGAGGTTTAAGAGATTTACTTAGAAGGAAAGTTTTTTTTGTAGGCTACTGCAGAGCTAAACATTCAGACTTTTATTTTATTCAAGAAACTCAAGACGATTAATCTTTTTGGAAGAGCCAATGTGGGAGTGAAATGTGGTTTTCGAATGGTATTAATCGACCAGCAGGCGTGGTTATTTTAAAGGGTCAAATTCTACATGGTGAAAAAGATGTTTCAGGAAGATTAATTATTTCACTATGTGAGTTAGAGCAGAAACAATTCGTAATGGCACCAATGACACAATTAGAAATCGGACTTCCTTTAAAAATGTGGAGAATGGAATCTGTCGACTTTTCAGAAGTTTTCAGAAGCTAGCTAATTGGGGAGGTGATTTTAATACAGTATTTGATGATAACTTGGATAGATGGCCTCCAGAACCTGCAAACATAAATTGTGAACTTAAAAATACATGTTTGCGTCTATGGATGTTTGGCGTGAAAGGAACAAATCGTAGCGAATGTATGTATACTTGGAGCAATAGAAGTCTGTCTTTGCTGTCACTCATAGATTTTTTGGCTCATTTGTTTCTATTGACCTTGAAGATAAGATCTGTGTTTACTGATCATAAACGTATACTTATCAAAATGTACGCAGCAATTGTTTTTTCTGAGAATTATACTTCCAGTTACTGGAAACTTAACAATTCATTACTTAACATTTTAAATTAGAAATGAGTAGGATCATTGAAGACATTACAAAGAAAAAATGCAATAAATATATTAAATGAAATAAATATATTAGAAATCAAATTTCGTGCTCAGTTCCACCTGCTGCAAAAAATTTTTTGGTGTTCAACCATGGTTGATTTAAATTGGAAAAAGGTCAACACTATTCATAAATACTGTATTAATAATAAAGTAAAAGAAGTTTCATTTAAAATTTGGCATCAAATTTATCCTGTTAAAGATAGCCTACGTTAAGAAGATTTAAAACAAACTAGAAGAGTCTTGTGTTTTTTGCCAATCTAATAAGGAGACTATTTTTCATTTTTCACTACACAAAAAAAGGTCTGATTTGGAAGAATCACAAAATTGAATGTAAACATCAGAATCAATATTTTTGATCTCTGTACCTATAGTCCTGTGTATTGTTCATAATAAAGTCCCGATAATGGCATGGAAAGAGGAAGCATCAAAAACACAAGCATTTACGATTTTGTTCCTCTTTATTTTTTCATAAAACTAGAATCTGCCAAGTGGGTCAAAAAAAAAAATACTTATTTTCCCTTTGAATTAAAATGTAGTATTCTGAACCCAGAAATTTGTTCTTTTTTAAACTTTTCATTTTTTTTTTCTTATGTCACTTTGCTTGTATCTTGATTTAAGAAAAAAATGTTCTTAAAAAGAAAGGCAAAAATGCTAAGCTCAGTTCAAACTACTCTGAAGGAAACTAAGTTTATTGCACAGTTTTGAAAAATTAGTCTCTGGATCATCAATAATCTTTGCTCAGATGACATCTAACAGATCTTTTTGCACTCACAGAACGAGCAGATTGAACCAGTGCAAAGAAAACACTAGTCTACTTGACTTTTCATGAAAGCCGAACGTCCTGAAAAAACTTTGGAACGCGTCTCTTTACAAATCTGCTGGATCATCTGTGGACTTTTTATTATTATTTTTTTAAATTATGCGGATGTGAAAATGCGTAACTGGTGCCCGTTCCCAAACCCAAAGCCAGGCAAAGCTGAAAGCACATGATGATGCAGAGATTGAGTGTTACTGAGTCGCTCAGAGACGCGGGAAACTCCTGATCATGATCTGATCGCCTGAGCAAAGTGCGCGCAACAGATATACTCATTAAAACACAAAAAGCCGTGCTTTTGACTTTAGTTCGTTTGACATGCTTTACTAAAGAAATGGCATAGCCTAATATTAGAGAGACATATTATGTTGGTGTGAGAAGTCTTAATTTTTCGGCTTAATAATGAATGAGATTTAAGCAACTCGAAAGGTTTAAAGATAACCGCGTCTGTGCTGGGAATCAGAAGTAAAATTAACTGTTCTTACCTCGAAGCGCACTTAGACTCGAGTGAGAAATAAGCCAGACTATTGCGACCTCTATAAAGAAAATGCATGTTTATAGGCTAAATGCACGTCGAAAAACAAAAAAAAACCCTGTGCATTTAGCTCTTGTACAAAAAAAGACAAAACCGAAATCTTGTGCATTTACATGTAGCACTTATAAAACCAAACCGAAATCTTATGCGTTTGCCACTTGTGTACAGTAAGCCCATGTAAAAATAAATTACAAAAATATACAAATAAGTGCATTACTCAGCCACAGCATCATGTCTCCACAGCACTTCATCCACACCACAGGACACAGGTCAGGCAACGGGGGAAAACCCTGGCTGGCACACCTAAGTATCCACACTTAAGTTACCACAGGCACGTCCCATGGCATGCAGATTTACCCTGGTGTAAGGTTGGCGTATTCCTTCCACCGCCAGTAGGAGGAGGAGAATTCCTCAATGGGGTTTAGGAAAGGGGAGTACGGTGGAAGGCAAAGATTACTGTAATACGCACAACCGGCGCTGCGTCATAGAATGACTTAAGAAATCACTTATATAAAACTTGTCGAGTAATTATATGTCCACCCTGCCAGCCATAGAGCGTGAAAGATACATACACAAACTTAATTTGGCCAATTTAAAAACATGTCCCTTTATTCCCCCAGCGTCAAATTGGTGTAACAACCCCACCCAGTGGCCAGAGGTGTCTCACCCGGATATTTAATTGTACCTCATCGAGTCACCAGGTAAGCCCCTGAATGATTTTATTTCGTTTTTTAAAGTAAAAAACCTTTATGTATATATTATGAATTTATGATGATGATGTCAGGTAGCCTGGGCTAGTTGATTACGGGCATAAAAAAATTATCTTTCATAGCATGCTCTATGGCAGGCAGGGTGGACATATAATTACTTGACATATTTTAAGTGATTTCTTAAGTTATTTATGCCTGTCTGCTGTGTACGGACGTTGGTTTTTGCCGTTATTTTGTATTGAAGTCTATGGGGAGTCTAGTTTGTTTCCCCCAAAAGGGGGCGGGGACAAAATTGACAGTTAAGTTCCCGGATGTGCCGGTTGTACGTATTCTGGCGTTCTATTGCGCACGCGCGACAAACTGCTACTCCGCAACCGTCTACTAACGTTACGGGAGAACAGCTGATTTGCCGTAGTCGTTACTACGTGACAGATTGCATTTTGAGAAGCAGGGTGTCAACATAGATACGTTTTAGGCTATATTTTTGGAGGAAAAAGCCTGTGTTCATGTTCGCATCGGTAGTAGCACTGGTTTTAGCGGCTCTAACTTAACTTTTCCGTGTCATTCATCTGATGATGGACGTCTCATGATGTTTATAGCACAACTGGGCTGTATTAGGTTATTGATTCCCGTGATATTGCGATTCAGGCATTAGCCTACCGTGATCACGCGATGTCTGCCGTGGTGGCCCGTTCAGGAACCATGACAACCAACATAAAATATAAATAATTACGCTGTGCATGTAAATGAATGATTTAGGAGGGAAATAGACTGCTCACATAACGTAGCAATGACCATATTTACAGCAAATGTTCCGTAAATGTTAACTTCATAAAATGAAACCGGAGATATAGTTATTTTCCTTATTATAGAGATGTAATTTTGAATGTGTAGTCATTTTTTTTTCTTCTATTTTGAATGTACTTTATTTTGTATAGTGCTATGGACCATTTTATATGTACAGTATATATTTAAAATACATGCACAACATAAAGCACAGATTTAAGACAGGCAAAAGATTGTGCAAAGAAAATTTAAAAAAATAGAATCGTTGAACAGCAGTGATTATGAAGAACTTTAATGAATACTGATCAACACCTCAGTCGTAAACTTTCCTGACCGTAGTTGTGCTCGAGACAGAGAGAAAGCCCTGTCTACAGCTGTCAGTCTCTGGAGACGAGATGAATATGTGATGGTCTAAGCTGGATTTGGAGGAGAAACAGGATTGATTTCATCATGTGAACCTGAGGGACGAAGACAGCAGCCGTCTGGATTCAGGAAGATCAAGCTCACATCCAACACTGAACCCATGAGCACCAGCGCCCATAGAAGTGTTGCAGATGGTGTGTTAGTCGCACCGCTATCTCTACGCCGGGAAAGAGCGACTGTGTTCATGAGGACGTTCCATTAACTGTCATATTTCACCCCAAAATCAACAGAATCAGGCAAGATGAATCAACATTTTTAAGATTACTAAAAAATTAAAATGCAAAGAATTGTATATAAATGTGTATTATATATATATATATTGAGCTTTTATTGCATGTATGTTTTTTTAAATGTAATCCAGTAAAAATGAGGAGAATCACCAAAATTAAAAATGTAAATCTAAGGCTTAAACGCTTTAATTATCATGAAAATAGTCACAAAGCAAAGAAAATAAGAGGATTTTGCAGACGTGCGCTAGTGATTAGTGTTATGCAAATGATGAAAGGAAAAACCGTCAGAAGATTCCTCGTAATGAAATCAAATTTGGCAACGACAGATTCCTCGAGCGAGCGTTCTCTTAAAGAACAGGCATTTCTGTTTATAATAACGGCACCTGTCAATCAAATCCGGAGATCCATGAGAAACTCTTCAGCTGTCATGGTGAAGGCCTCGAACATCTCATGATGTGGGTCACAGTGTCATGACCGAGAGTCTCTGAGCGTGAAGAAGCCACTAAACACTGAGATCCTTCAGGACAGACCGAGTTAAAGAGCAGAGAGGTGTGTGTGTGTGTGTGGAGGTTGTGCTCGACGGGTCGGCGTCTCACACCACGTACTGGTAGAGATTGGCTTTCCCGTGATCCGGCCGAGCGAACGGACTGAGCCAGGAGAGAGAGAGCGGGTGACCGAACACCACCTTCATGTTCATCCACTTGGACCTTTTGGCCCATCTTCGCTCTTCTTTCTTCAGCTGCTCGATTCCCTGCGAAACACAGTTATTTCAGTCTTCTTCTCATATCATAGACTGATATCTGTGTCATATTCACAAATTAATACGAGATTCGTGGATCTCATTGGAAGATGACGTCATGATTCAATGGTCACATGATCAATGGGTTAAAAAAATCAGGGTTATTTTAAATGTGATTTTTGTTACTTTAAATAAAATAAAACCTAAACATTTATCATTTTTATTTAGTTTAACTTGACGTACTTAAGTGAGTAAAATAACGAATAAAAAAACAAACCTCTTAAAAAAAAACACTAAAAATTACAAATGTGACTTAAATTTTATTCAAATGAAAACAGAAACATATCTTTTAACACACTTTCAGATGCTCATTCATGTTTATTTGGCGCTGTGACTGGTATTATTAACCCGGAAGAGAGATCAGCGCTGCTGCTTCTCCAGAGCGATCTCACGCCACAGCGACAAAACGCTATTTATGATTTTGAATTTCTAAAGAGAATGGACGAAATTTGAAAATTGAGACTTTGTTTCATATCAATAGTAACAAAGGACAAAGATTATTGCGATTTTTTTTGGATGCGCGCAGCCGCAAAACAATGTCCCATTCATTCAAATGAAACAGGATGACTAATCGATTCTTGAGATTTAAGAATCGATATCGGTTCGTAAAAATGAGAATCGATTAATATCGAGAAATCGATATTTATTACCCAGCCCTACTATATACCCAAGTTAAGTGTCACTTACGGTCTCGTCGTTGCAGATGGAGTGCACCTGCGTCCCGAACATCACAGAGGTGAAGATGAGGAAGAGCAGACCCTCGAAACTCAAGAGGATGAGGAGGATGACGGTCGCCGGAGGAGAGAAGGAACTGCACTCTGCGGACAGGAAACAGGAACGATCAATTCGTGGACGAATCAGAGCGCTCCGTTACAACGCAAACAGCCAATCATTGAGCAGCACTCACTTGCCCAGTCTTCTTCGAAACAGAAGACAAAATGTAAAGCAACCATCATCAGAGCATGAAGGGAAATCAAAGCAATGTACATCTGGAGACGAGAGAGGAAACAGTACAGATTATTTATATGCTATTAATATTTTGAATTTTATTTTTATACGAAGAGTTCAGATGCAAAAGCCTCTAAATGCCATTTGAAATTTTCTTCTTTAATGATGATTTTTTATCAAACTTGTATATTTAAGTTCAGTAATTTCACTTAAATAACAATTAATAGGTAATTATCATTGCCATTTAAGTGAAATCACTGAACTGAAATATACAAGCTTGATAAAAATCATCATTAAAGAAGAAAATTTCAAATGGCATTTAGAGGCTTTTGCATCTGAACTCTTCATACGTTCTTCTTTTATACGACTTCTGACTTTTTAGTACCGTGACGACCATGGCCCAAAACTCATAATGATTTAAACTGGTGTGTTTTGTGAGTAGTTGTGATGAAACTCACAGTGAAAAGCACAAAGTATTTTTGGTTGTTCTCTCCCACACAGTTGTTGACCCAGGGGCAGTGATGGTCCATCTTCTTGATGCAGCGCTTACACACACTAGACGGAGAAAACACGGGAAACTCTCTCTGAGCTTAAGGTCACAGATGTGAATAGTACGTAGTTATTGATGCTGTGTGTGTGTGTGTGTTGTCACCTGCAGTGATGTGCTCTATCAGGCTTGATGCTGCAGCATTTGGGACACTTGTACACCACCTGACCCGGCTTGAGCTGCAGACTCTCGATGAACTCTTTCGTGGCGTTTCCCTTCGGAACGGCTCCCTAAACCACAGGAAGAGGAACGGGTCAAACCCACACACTCCAAACAAACCATCACACATCAGTTTACAAACATTAGTGTTGTCATTTTATACATTTTAATTATTATAATCCTTACTGAAATACTTTTTTATTTTACAATAAATACTGCAATTTTTATTTAGTAATTAATATTATTGTTATTATTATTATTATTAAAGTCATATTGATGTATTTTGGGCCAAATTGTGCAGCCCTACAATCATTTTTAATTTAATAATTGATTTATTTATTATTAAACTGATACACGCATGGTCTCTCGCTCGCTCACCTCTCCGTAGCGCACGTGCACGGTTCAGAACACAATATCTGTCTTGCATGCACACTCGCTCTAGATTACGGGATAATTTGCGGTAAAACTAGTCGATCACGAGTGGCACAACAGGTAGATCTATAGATAAACTCATCGTTCAGGCATTTGACCTTATGAACAGATGCACTACTTCCTGAACTTAAGCCAGTTCCAAATTGATTAATCCAGGTGTGCCTGACCTCAGTAGTCATGGCAACAAAAATCAGACACACCTGAATTAATCAAGTTCGGCCAATAATGGCAGACAGGAAACAAGGAGCTGGCTTAAGTTCAGGAAGTAGTGCAGCTGTGCATTGGTTGACACTTCAGCGTGAGAAATCAGGGGTGTGGTGTGAGAGCGTGAGGATTGGCTCCATTGAGTGAGATTTGGCAACCCTGGTGAACGGGCCTGGGCAACTCACCGGGTCGGTGCACATGGCCCTGAAGTGTGACGCCAGCGCGAGGAAAGCGAGCCCGTTAAACACAACACCGTTAAAGATGCTGTACGCCAGGTTCTTCGCCGGCAGCAGCATCACGAAGACGACCACGAACTCGGCGTAGAAGACCAGCATCCACGTGATCACGCCGCACACGATGCCGCAGCCGTCCCGGATGAACCACATGTCGTGGGGGGAGTTTGAGCGCGGAGGCGGGGGGGTGCAGTGCTCCGGGCGCAGGTATCCGGCCTGGCGCTCGATGTCCCGACTGCGGTTAGCTGGGGAACTCTTCATCCTTCCCGACGGGAAGCTCCCACATCATCCTCCAGAGACAGAAACACAAACGTGAACACATGTAGGCTCACACACATTTTGCAGATGGGTTTCCTCCCATTTAAAGGGAGAATTCATATAAAAATTTAAATTATCCCATGTTTTACTCACCCTGAAGCCATCTTAGTATATGACATACTTCTTTGCAGTTTTATGATGGATAGATGCACTTTTATCATGGACAAATATGGCCACATATATATATATATACACACACACACCCTGAATAAATAAAATTAAATATAAAATATCCAGAAAGTCTTAAAAGAATAAATAATAACATAAAAAAAACAACCATGTATACATGATTGATTATAATATTATAATATATTTATAACCGAAATTCAACAAAATTTTAATTATTAATATTTGACAGGGCTGTTAGATATCGTACCAACTTATTCTTGAAACTACAAACTGAGGGGAGACCTGAAGATCTACATTTGTGGATAAAATGCAAAGCCAGTTTAAAGAAAATTATAATACAAAACCTCACCGTGTTGTGTGGCTCCTCCAGCAGCGCGTGACTGAGCTTTAAATGATGAGTTCTGTCTCTGCTTACACACAGATTAGTTGATGTAGTGATGTAAGGTTTATGTGTTGTACAAATGAGCGGAACAATTTAGTTTTAGTGTAAATTATTGCTCCAGTTTCGTCAGGTGAGGCGCGACAATCAGGAAGTTTCGGTTACTGGCATCACACACCCAACAACATAGTCCGATTCTGCACTTCCGCTCCACAATATTATAAAATAAAAGTCGTTGAAAAATAAATAAATAGTCCTCAATCGGGCCATGGGGTCTATATCCGACCCCAATCGACTTTTACTTAATAAAAAAGGTTCCCTTCATCTCAGTGGAATAAGATTTTGTGACTTTTCATACATTATCTATCTATACACACAAATAAAACTGGGCTTGATTCGGTTGTTCTGAAGGTATGTAAAAAATGTTTACACTTCTGGTCTTTGGGGTCATGAATGGGTAATGTGAAAAAAACTCAATATTTCAATATTATATTAAACTCAATACTCAATACTCAATATTTTCTTCATGTGTCAAAAAAAAAAAAAACCCGGCATAAATCTGAAAATGTTTACAGAAATGAACGCCTAGTACTAGAGCATGAATGCAGCGTATAATAAAAAATATATATTTTATATGCCAGCTAATTGTGTAGTTGAGGAATTGTGTGGTATATGATACAGAAGTACTGTATATCTCCTAAAACACAGCATTAATTAATAGATGAGAAGTAAACAAAAAATGATATATTATTTGTATGATAAAAATGTATAGACCGAAGCCCAGAAGTGTAAACAGGAAACGAAGACCATTTAGATTAATTTTTAATTTTTTGTGCGTTTTGGAAACGCGCGTTTGTGTGTAAAAGTGTCCCACGAATAAATTGATTTTATTGAAACGTGTTCGTTGTTTAATAAACTTCTGACGTGAGGAAACATTCCGTGATAACACTTTATAGAAACGAGAAACAAATCGCAAAGTCTTACATAAATTATTGTGTAAATAAAAAGTAGTATTTGAATGAATGAACCAGACTTTTATGTTAGCAAAAGTGGCGGGTGCGCGCGCTCCGGTTCCCCTCAAGCGCATCCGGCAACATGTCGGCAGCTGAGCGCGCGCTCGAGGTGAGAAACACAACACACAATAAAACACACATTTACATGTGCATGCGTAATTACAGTCGTGCATTTGCACAGCTAAGGTTGTGTTATGAATGTGTATTCCCTAATGGAGGATATAACTACGCTTTCATTCAATGGTTTCCACATGCTGCGTCTGTTGCAGCATCTAACGTTAGTGTTTGTGTTTAGTCCATCACTGTAACGTGCACACATTCTGTGATTAATTGCACATCTGCATTGATCCTGTCAGCTGTTGTTTACATAAACGGTGTTATATTTTTAGTGCCGCTAAAATATGCATGTGAAGTTTATGACCTCTGATTATCAGTTAATTTGCAATCAAAACACAATCACAACAGAAGGGTTTTGTAAGCTAGAACCCGTCTGTGTGGATATTGATGAGTATAAGTCATGTTTAACAGTGTGATTTGTTGGTTTTCCTCCAGACCCCATCAGATGAGAGCTCTCCTCAATCCAAGCATGAAGGTGAGGCTGTCACTCCTTTAAATCAGTGTTTCATTAGTAGAGATGCGCAGTATATATCTGTGATTGGACACTATTTTCTGTATTAGCATTAGTTTGATTAGGCAGCAGATTATACCAGGCCTTCAAACAGGTTTCACAGTTTAGATCTGTCCAAATGGCTGATTTTACCATTTTATTGTACAATTGTACAGGTGTATATCATCGGACATTAAAGGGATTTTTCAAAAATGAAAATTTTCTCATCATTTACTCACTATGAAGTTGTTTCTTCTGCTGGACACACACTCACTCACACACACACTCAAAAACATACTCACATCCTCAATTACTCTCATTCACACTCACTCACACACACATTTTTATATGAGAAATAAAAAAGGCTTCAGGATTTCTATAATTTATGCTGCACATTATCACATCTTTATGGGAAATTCAAGATTAAAGCATTTGAAGTAAAAATTATTCTAAAAAGAGTCTAAATTGTTTATATAATAATGGCTAATATTCCTGGATCTGCTCTATTGTAATGGTGTTTGTGTCCTGTTAGCAGATCCGGCTCCTCCTGTAAAGGGAAAACCCATGGATGATCTGACGGGACGTCCGGATGAAGCGCGTCCTGTCGCGTCCACTAAAACACACACAGGTGAGTCGTGCACGGGTGCTGATCACACACACACTGGGCTGCTTTACGCGACAGTCTTCGGATACATCCAAAATCACATATTTCCCTACTATATAGTAAACCGTATGTGACTGCCATTCAGTAATGAATGAATTGTGTTGAAACTAGTTAGCACAACTCAATTTTTATGAGTAACTAACTTAAAAACATGTATCACTTTTGATGTTCTTACTTTGTAATTTACTTTCTTCCATATATTAGGGGGTCAGTTAGTGCACCTGCTGCCATCTACAGGTTATAGTGGTAATTGCATCTTATTTTTTTTAAGGAAGGAATCATTTTATTCCATAACTCAAATTTGATCATCAAAATTACATATTTAAAGTTTTTTCTTGAAAAAAAAAAATGTTCTTCAGGTTTAAAATAGCTTGAGTGTAACTCGACACCCTCGCCTCATTTAGTATGCACGGTTCTATGAATATGCAAATGAGCCCCGCCTCCACTCAGAGATCCACTGGTTGACGAACACGCGTTGATCTGATTGGTTACAAGGTGGTTTGTGACGTCAGAAACACCAAAGCGTGTGTTTGAGACTGTCTTTGGTTCACTGCAGTTTTAAGGAGGAAATACTCAGCAATGCTGTCCATTTATTAACTTACACATGAAAAAAAGCGTATTAAACACACCACATACACACATAAACAACATTAAAGAGATACTCCACTTTTTTTGGACAACTCCCCCAGAGTTTTACCGTTTTCGAATCCATACAGCCGATTTTCTGATATTAGACATATTTATTATATTATATTTATTATAATAAAATCAGTAACCAGACCGTTTCTGGTCCCATTGACTTCTATAGTAGGAAAAAAATCCGTTTTGGGCGCCTGAAAAATTGTGAAAACCGGTTTCAAAGTGCAAGTTTTTGAAAACGATCCCAAACGAACCTCTGAAGACGATGGAGTCATGCTAATGCGTATTACGTGTTCAGTCTACAGTGTTTCGTCGCCATCTAGTGGCCCGACAGCAGAATACAGCGCTTTTAGCCGTTTTGGTGAATCGTCCTACAGTACGTGGAAATCTCAAAGGAAAAACGTCTCAGTTTTTAGCTAACGTTGTCGTGTAGACGAAGCGTAACGAGCCGTGAAACCCCAGACAGATAATGAGTGAGTTGTGTGTCTCTCCACAGGCAGTAAAAGCTCGTCTCCCTCCACGTCGTCGCCAGCGTCTGGGCGAGCGAAGATGAGCGTCTGCGGCCCTGGCAGTAAGACGGCTCCTTCATCCTCTCTGTCTTCAGCCAGTCCTCCACCTAAAGTCCACCGCGCGCGCAAGACCATGAACAGACCTCCCTTCCCGCAGGTTCTTGCTATGAACACACATTCACGGTGAAATCACGTAGATTTATTAATAAAATGATAACTCTCTTGTGTTTCTGAGCAGATTAAGTCTATAGAGTCGCTGGCACACGCTACGCCTGAGAACAGCACGAGCGGCGGGAAGGCAGACGCGGACGCAGGTCATAAATCTGGCATGATCATATTCATGCGTCGTTTATTTGGACGTGTGAATAGTTGCAGGAGTGTTTCTCTCTGTGTGTGTAGTTGTGAAGAAGCGTAAAGTGTGTGTGGAGTCGGATGCAGGAACTCCTGAGAAAGTGGCGCGGCCGCAGACGGAGGTGAGAGTGTGTGTGTGTGTGTGACTTTCTGACATGGTTGGTTAATTTGTGCTCTAAAACACAACGTGAGGCAGATATAATGTTTAATGTATATAATGTTTCCACGTCACGGCTGGAATTGATTGTTGATTTTATAAAATGATAATAGCAATATGAATAATAAAAAAATCTATTTTATTCTATTGTGCTCAGATTTTATGGCATTTAGTGTAATATTAGCATATAAATATATACTAGGGCTCTGCAAAAATTAATTGCGATTAATCGCATCCAAAATAAAAGTCTGTGTTTTCATAATATATTTGTGTGTGCTGTATATAATTATTTTGTATATATAAATACACACACATGCATGTATATATTTAAGAAAAGGTGTTATTCATATATAAAATATTTATATTTATATAATATAGATTATGTATTTATATATATATATATATATATACAAAATTTAAGTGCAAATAATTCTTAAATATATTCATGCATGCATAGGTATTTATATATACAAAATAATTATATACAGCACACACAAATGTATTATGTAAACACAGACTTTTATTTTGGATGCGATTAATCTCAATTAATTTTTGCACTGCCCTGTGTATGGATACCTGAGTGTTTGTTTTCCCCAGCCTCCTCTGACGGCGTCTCCAGGGATGGGGAAGGTGGAGCCGGTCGCCACGGCAACTAAAGAGCATCCCAGTGGTTGGCTGGAGGATCTGGATGAAGAGGCGGATGAGGAAGATTTCCACCTGCTCTACAACAGTTACTCTGGAGACGATCTGATTTACTCGGACAGCAAGGTGAGTCACATGACCACAGAGACCCATCCATCGCTGCTGAGATCTGACACTCTCGTGCTCTTATTTTGTAGTCAGATGATGGGATGGCAGAAGAGGCGCTGGAGGCGGGGCATCTGTCGGATCATGTGAGTGACCCTTACTTTCACACAGTTTCTGGATGTTTGAAACAGATGCAAGAGCAGGATTATGGAAACCTCGAAATATAAGGGAATAAAATGTGAATTCCAGGCCTGAGAAAGTCATGGAAATGTAACCAAAAAATAAAAAATAATAAACGTAAAAAAAATAAATAAAAAGTATTTTTTATTATAATTTTTTTTAATTCAAACCTAAACAGTCATGGGAATTAAAAAAGAAAACATCTAATAAATTAGGTTTTAAATATATCATTTTTAAAAGTAAAATAATAAAACTTCTTAAATAAAAAAAGGAAGTGAAAACATATTTTATTGAAATGATTAAAAAGATTAAAAAGTCATGGAAATTAAAA